AGTAGTATCACGTAAATTAAGACGGAACCAACATATGTTTGGATAAAGTGTATTACTCCATTTATTTTAATTCAAGTATTTTATTTTTCATCTTATAAGATTCAAAATATATTTTAATACATATTTTAATTAAAATTAAATGATTAAAAAATTCTTTTATTTTTTTGAAATTTTATATCTAGTCAAAATAAAACAATAAATTAAAACAAATAGATTACAAAATTTAGGTAATTTTTTCGTTTTAATTTATTTATCTTACTTTTTCTTTAAAAAACGTTTCAAAAATCCCTTTTGTGACACTTTTTAGTTCTAAATTTTATTTTCTTAAACTCCATTAATATAATAAAATAAAAACAAACTAAATTGACGAAGTAATATATTCTCTAAATTTGGTTCCAATAAATGGGGTCCCAAAAAGTCAATAAGTCAACCTAAAATTTGGATATTTAGAAAACGAACCAAGTCATCATCTTCCCCTTTCTTGCTTGGCAAGTACTAAGGCGCATCAATTTTATTGTTTCCGCGCAGTAAGGAGTATACGTTTATACCATTGTATAGCTCATGAAAAACGGGTACAAATGAATTGTCGAGTATCGGTTATCTCCTGTTATAACTAATTTCTTTATAAATAATGAGACATGACTATGTAGGAAATAAAAATGAATCGTTATGAACTACATATTAACTACCCTATACTCATAGATTGGATTATTATGTGTACACCATAATATGAGCTGGGATCTAGCATCGAACAGAATTTAGATGAATCTAACTCTAATATTATTATTATAATTATTTTTATTTTTGTTAACCCTCCCTAGGAGCTCCCACCCCTTTTGCTCCCTTGGTGACTCGAATTCGCACCCTTTGGGTTGGAAGTGAGGGGTGCTTACCATCCGAGCAACTCCCTCTCGTCAAATATTGAAATTAATTAAACTTCAAAAAGTAATTTATGAAATGAGAATTGTTAAAAATTATAAGAAGATAGTTGTCCATCACCTATGTGGATACTATTATTTGTGTTGACATATTACTTTTTTTTGTGGTTAAATCCATATTGCTTTCATTTTCAAGATATATCAATGTTCTATCTAATTAAATGAGGATAGCAATCGTAGATTCATCCTATTTTTCATATTTTCTTCTAATAATCATTTAAGTTTCTTGGACTTACATATTGTTGGGGATATAACAAGAGTTAATGGGAAATGGAGGGAAGATGAAAAGAGAGGAACTTGAAAAGTTCTCTTATGCTATAGTAAAAAGGTATTTCTCCCTCATCGGTGGTGGAAAGAAAAAAAGAAGAGTTTAAATAGAGAAACATTTCTATTAATTGTTAAAAGGGTTGGAAAGAGGGACCCCCTCGCACCGTCGTCGTCGCTCGATCGGCTCGGCATTGAAAAATGATTGAGAGATTATTTTTTGGACAAAGTTTTGTTTTAATTATTTTTTTGAAATTAAATGGCAAAACGTTTCAATTAATTAGTTAATTAACCGAAATGTTCCGATCCGACTCGAATCCGCATGACCGGCTTTATTTTAATTACTTTCCCATTTTATTTGAATTTTCCGCCGTTGGAGATGACTGTTCTGAAAGGTTGCAACCTTTCGGAACCAGTTCCTCTTGGCTATAAATACCAGTTATTCTTCAGACTTTTTACTTACGAAAATTTCTGATTTCTTCTTCTTCTTTTGCACAAAAATTTTTCATGTACTTTATTGCCGTTGAGTGGCTCGCTGACACCAGCATTTTGGGTAACAATACACTAGTGATTGAGATCATTCTATCCTGGGAGGACATATTCCAAATCAAATCTCGGATACTAGAGGGGAATAATTTTCTTAAGGGGACATTGTGCATTCAGTGGACTTGATCTTTTTTCGTTCTGTCTTTTCCAGATTCTGGTATGTTTTACAGATTTAAATTTTTGTTCTTCTGTTCTTCACTAGTTCATTGGAAACTTTGGTAACTTTGTGTTTCTGCAAAGTTTCTGGTAATCAGTATTACTGTTTTTTATACACAGATTGGCAACAATCTTAAGGAAATTAGTTATTTATTTTTAATTTGTGTTTATGGTGGAGATAAAATTCTTTGTGTTTTTATACTCTTATTAAGTTTGCAATTTAAGTTATTGCTTACTAAGTCTGTATCGATTTTTGTTTATCAGAAATGGCAAACAACAATGTTACAATGGTTGTTGCTGCACCAATCCGAACTGTTATACCACCAACAGAGAAATTGAGAAAATTCTCTGGTGTGAATTTCAAAGGATGGCAGCAACGAGTATTTTTCTGACTTACCACTTTTTGTCTGCAGAAATTTACCAGTAAAGAAACTCCGGTGCCTGCTGCTGAAATGTCAGACAGAAAAAAATTCATGATTATTGAAGCATGAAAACATGCAGACTTCCTATGTAAGGACTACACTCTGAGTGATTTAGAAGAGGACTTATATAATGTCTATAGTGCAATGACAACTTCGAAAGAATTGTGGGATGCACTTGAGAAGAAATATAAGACAGAAGATGCATGCTTGAAAAAGTTTGTGATCGCAAAGTTTTTAGACTATAAAATGTTAAATAGTAAAACTGTTGGATCACAAGTGTAGGAACTTCAACTTATTTTCCATGATCTGATTGCTGAGGATATGGTAGTAAATGAAGCTTTTCAAGTGGCTGCAATGATCGAGAAGTTACCTCCTTTATAAAACGATTTCAAGAATTATTTAAAGCACAAACGTAAGGAAATGAAACTTGAAGATCTTGTGATTTGGCTCAAGATTGAGGAAGATAACAAAATCGCCGAAAAAAAATCTCGTTAGAGTTCGACAATAATTGGACTTAATATTGTTGAAAACGCTCCTACCAAAGGCAAGAAGAGAAAGAAGTCCAACGAACAAAAGTCAAAGGTACAACCAACAAAACTTGTATGAGGATCCATTAACTAGTTGACATGTGGATTGTGGGGGCTAGATTGTCCTTTAAAATTACAATTAAAACCAAAGAGGAGAGAGGGAGTAGAGTTTAATTGGAAACAGAAAGAAAATCTTGGGGTCCATATCAAATATAATTAAATAAACTATAATGATGTATTGAAAGTGGAAAAATACACATTAAAATAGTAATGAAGGGAATGAGAAGTCATATTATCAGCTGACCTATATTTTTATTTTATGTTTTATACACATTTATTTAACTTGTTGAATTAAGGATTTATATATAAAAAAAAACATTATGTCTATATCACAAGATAAAATAATATTTACATACACTTTGATCTCTTCAAATTTGTGTTACTTTTAAAAATGATTCTATATTATAAGATAAAATAAGATTTATGTACATTCTATTTTTTTCAAACTCATGTTACTTTTAAAAATGGATATTTGATATATGGATTGAGAAAAGACTTGAAATGTGTAGCAAAGTGAAAATTTTAAAAAGTATCCTATGATATAACAACCATATTATTAGAGTATTTCTTTTATCTAAATGATGTTAGATATATAACAACATTATATAGTACGAATTTCATTTTAATTTGGAGCAAAACAGTCAAATTTCTACTTATTATACTTTTATTAAATCGTACAAAGTTTATACTATAGTAAATCAATGAAACTTCATTCTGGGCATTAATATCTTATTTGACATTTTTATTAAAATAAATATTAATTGACATTTTTATTTAAATAGTTTTAATCAGAAAATTTCAATATACGTATAAAATAACTTTTGGTTCGTTTCATTACTTTTTTACTGTGCACTTTTCTACTTTAAATACACTATTTTAATTTATTTAATTGTATTTGACGCGAACCCCACAATTTTTTTTCAATTTCCAATTAAACTTTACGCTCTCTCTCCTCTTTGATTTTAGTTGCAGCCTTAAAGGACAACTTGTGCCCCCACAATCCACATGTGAACTTGTCAATAGATCCTCATACAAATTTTGTTGATTGTATCTAGTTCAAAATAAAAAATTTCATCGATTGCTTTGAGTATATTTCAGCAAACATAGCTAAAATAGTCACACTCAAAACAATACTTTAATTTTCTAAAAATTCTACTTTTCAAAACCATTGATCAACAAAAACAATTAATCACACACTAATTGTGCTTCTCGAAGTAGATTATATATGAAAACTAAATAATCCAACAAAAACAGCTTGTACTAATCTAATCTTAGAGCCTGTTTGGATTGACTTAAAAGCTGATCAAATTTACTTTTAAGTCAATTTTTTACTTTTGAAAGTGTTTGACAAATATAAAAAAATAACTTAAAATAAGTAAAAAGTGACTTAAAATAAATTACGAAGTGTTTGACAAGGTAAAAAATGACTTCAAATAAGTCAGAAATCAAAATTAGGTCTGCCTCTACTTTTTATTTTAAACTTAAAAGTCATTTCAGTTTGACTTTTTATTTTTAATTTAAAAGTTATTTTTTTTAAGTCAATCCAAACGGGCTGTAAGGAAAATTAATATCCCTGCATTGCAATTTCGTGGTCTTATTTAGTTTGGATTCAAAATATAAATTTTTATGTAGTAAACTTTTAAAGTTGTCATCATTGAACGTTATATATTTTTGAAGCTATGAGCTAATGTCTATTATTTGTTGCAGTTCTAGTAAACTTTTACACATTAAATTGATACTCTATATTAAAAATACTAAATTCCAATGAATTCGACAACACAAATAAATCACTCAGATCATCCAATTATACGAAAATCATATATTTTAATATTTGAAAGGCATTTACAAAAACCCAAAAAGATGGGGAAAAAAAAAAACACTTCATCTACTAGATAGTCCATTAAGCTCTCTGGACAGGGACCAAAACTTCAATGATTCACTTCATCGTGAACCAAATAGCTTTCGTTCAAATTCTATATATCTATTAACATATCAATAAATATTTGACTGTTAATACAGTTAATTATATTGAATCCCTCTGTTCCAATACTATACTCTGTTTTCCATAGGCAATCAAAAATTGTCATTCACATAATGGAACAATTGGATTCGCCATACGAATCTGTAACTTGGTAAACTGGGTATTCATAAGACGAATAGGCATAATTGTACGAGCCGGGTTGCGACTGAGCCATCGCAGCTGCAGCTACAGCTGGAGCTGGAGCTGCAGCTACGGGGCCACCACCAGCCGGGCCAACGCTCACCAAGTCCGCCTGACCCAAATTCTTCCTCAATAAGCTCGTTAGAGTCGCAGCATCTACTTCTCCCACAACTACCAATTGGTTCTTTCCGTCCCCTGTTATAGCTGCTGATTCCACACCTAAGTAAAAAAAGAAAAAACAATATATGAGCAAAATTCGCACGATTTATTTTATAATTATTATCAATATGAAGATTTATTCGACACGCTTAATTGAAATTACTTGATTGAGAAACAGCAATCTTGAAGGCCTTGGTTCGATATTTCCTGTCGTTTCCATTCAAAGATAGTCTGATAACAACTTTTTGCTGCACAAATTTAACAACATTTGTTAATATTTAAGAGTTGAATCATATACTTAAAAAATTTAAAAATTATATTTAAATTAATTTGTATACCTTCATTTTGTTTGTTTGAAGGGGAATTAAAGTTAGGTTAGGAGTATAATTGAGTAGGCAGAGAGTGTAAAAGAGAGGAATATTTGAAAAGCTGAGAAATTGCTGTGAGAAATACTTGTATATTATTGGGTATTTATAGATTTGTAAGAAAAATATTAAGATAGTTATTCGATATAACGCGTGGGGAAGAAGAATGATTCAGTCATCCGCCAAACTCCGTACGAAGTTGACTTTGTTTTCATTGTATGAATCCATAAAATGGTTGTTTAAAATATACTCGTGTTTTGTACGACAATACTAATCCACTATTTATTTGCACATTTCTTAAGAAACTATAATAAAAAAGATAACTTTTCTATATCACATTTTGAATATAATAAATAAAATGTCTGTAAAAATGTAATAGGGAAATGACTATAATTAATGATAAGAATAACTTAGGAACTAATAAGTGTAAAATTATTTCATTGATGATAAATATTATTGGACATCTCAAAATAGTATAATGGATAGCTACTGTTGGACCGAGGGAGTATTCTTCCGTCTCAATTTAAGTGACACACTTACCTTTTAGATTTATAACCACATGAATAGTAGAGGAGTCGTTTAGACCATAAATTTCAAAAGTTTTTCTTTTAATTCTTAAATTTTGTGTCAAATTAAATAGTATCACGTAAATTAAGACGAAACCAATATATGTTTGGATAAAAATTATTACTCCATTTATTTAATTCAAGTATTTTATTTTTCATCTTATATGATTCAAAATATATTTTAATACATATTTTTATTTTAAAATTAAATGATTCAAAAATTCTTTTATTTTTTTTGAAAGTTTATATCTAGCCAAAATAAAACAATAAATTAAGACAAATAGATTACAAAATTCAAGTAATTTTTTCGTTTTAATTTATTTGTCTGACTTTCTTTTTAAAACCGTTTCAAAAATCCCTTTTGTGACACTTTTTAGTTCTAAATTTTATTTTCAAACTCCCTTAAAATAAATAAAATAAAAACAAACTAAATTGACGAAGTAATAGATCCTCTAAATTTGCTTCCAATAAATGGGGTCCCAAAAAGTCAATAAGTCAACCTACAATTCGGATATTTAGAAAATGAACCAAGTCATCATCTTCCTCTTCCTTGCTTGGCAAGTACTAAGGCGCACCAATTTTCTTGTTTCGGCGCAGTAAGGACTATATGTCTATACCACTATATAGCTCATGAAAAACGGGTACGAATGAATTATCGACTATTTATTATCTCTCGTTATAACTAATTTCTCTATAAATAATGAGTCGCAACTAAGTAGGAAATAAAAATGAATCAACATGAACTATATATTAACAACCCTATACTCATAGATTATATTATTACATGAACACCATAATATGACCTGGAGTCTAGCGTCAAACATAATTGAGACGAGTCTAAGTCTGATATTATTATACGAAATAATAGTGAACTTAATTAAACTTCAAAAATAAGTTTACGAAATGAGAATTGTTAAAAATTATAAGAAGATAGTTGTCTACCACCTATGTGCAGAGCCGTCTCAACCAGAAGGCCACTAAAACAATCACTTAGGCCCCTCAATTTCTCCAAAAGATTTACATATATACATACATATCGTTTTTTAAAAAATCTCATGTGTTGGGTTTAGTTAATTGTAGCATTCTATCTATGTGGCTATCTATATTGTTGCCTCATATATATGACGATTATCATGAACCAACATTATTATTCTTATATTTACTTTTCTAGTTTTCTTATTCTCCTTTCACTATTTTTATTCTCTCATAATTGAATATTGTAAAGCCTTTCAAACCATCAAACCTTTTACATTATGCAAAATTTATGGTTGTGTGTTCATAAAAAAATCAAATTTATTTTTTGGTGTCTTCTTCAAATTTCAAGAACTAAAACTAATCAACACTATATTAATATCATTATATCAACCTATCAAATTCAACGCAACACTATTTTGATATCATTATATAATTTTTTTCCAAAATTTTGAGTCAAGTTTTATTGTTCTTACCTTATATTATATATTTTGTATTTGAAAATTTACATTGTTCACATTCTTACTTCATAATTTCCTCATATATCCTACCTCTCCAGACCTCATTTACTGAATTATATTGAGTATGTTATACGGACATCTTTATGAAGTTTGACTTTAGGCCCCCAAACTCATTGAGACGACCCTGCCTACGTGGACACTATTATTTGTGTTTGATATATTCCTTTTTTTGTGGTTAAACCCATATTGCCTTCATTTCCAAGATATATCAATGTTCTATCTAATTAAATGAGGATAGCAATCATTCATTCTATTTTTCATATTTTCTTCAAATAATCATTTGCGTTTCTTGGACGTACATCTATACATAGACTTCTTGCTACATTATTCTCCTAAGTATTGACAAAAATATCTTGTCACAATCGAGTTCTACTGAAACTTTATTCGTGCCAGAGATAAAACGCTCCTAACAGAAGCAACTTCTATACGTCATCATACATTTTAATATTTGAAAGGCATATAAAAAGACCCAAAAAGATGAAAAAAACAAAAACAAAAACTCTTCATCTACTAGATAGTCCATTGGACGGGGATAAAAAACTTGAGTGATACACTATGCAAGTTCATGTGAATCAAATAGCTTTCGCTCAAACTCTATATATTTATTAACATATCAATAAATATTTGACTGTGAATACAATTTACTGCCTTAAATCCCACTGTTCCAATACTATACACTCTGTTTTCAGTAAGCAATCGAAAATTGTCATTCACATAATGGAACAATTGGATTCACCATAGGAATCTGTAACTTGGTAAACTGGGTATTGATAAGACGGATAGGCATAGTAGTACGAGCCAGGTTGCGACTGAACCATCGCAGCTGCAGCTACAGCTGGAGCTGCAGCTGCGGGGCCACCACCAGCCGGGCCAACGCTCACCAAGTCCGCCTGACCCAAATTCTTCCTCAATAAGCTCGTTAGAGTCACCGCGTCTACTTCTCCCACAACTTCTAGTTGGTTCTTTCCGTCCCCTGTTATAGCTGCTGATTCCACACCTAAGTAAAAAAAACAATATATATATCAGTTTTGGACCAAATTCGCACGATTTTTTTTTATAGCTATTATATATCAATATGAAACTTTATTCAACACGAAATTACCTGATTGAGAAGCAGCTATCTTGAAGGCCTTGGTTCGATATTTCCGATCGTTTCCATTCAAAGTTAGTCTGATAACAACTTTTTGCTGCACAAATTTAACAACATTTGTTAATATATAAGAGTTGAATCATATACTTAAAAAAATTTAAAAATTATATTTAAATTAATTTGTATACCTTCATTTTGTTATATTGATGGGGAATTAAAGTTTGGTTAGGAGTATAATTGAGTAGGCAGAGAGTGTAAAAGAGGAGGAATATTTGAAATGCTGAGAAATTGCAGTGAGAAATACTTGTGTATTATTGGGTATTTATAGACTTTGTAAGAAAAATATTAAGATGGTTGTTTGAAATAAGGCGCGTGTTGTGTGGAAGAAGAATGATTCAGTCAACCGCCAAACTCCGTACGTTATGTAGTTGACTTCGTTTTCATTGTATGAATCCATAAAATGGTTATAAAATATACTCGTTCTCTCCAATAATACTAATGACGTTGCACATTTCTTAATAAACTATAAATATATATTAGAGTATAGATTAGAATAAAACCGTTATCTAGTTTGGTAAGATATACCCCCATCTAGAACATAGATGAGTAAAATTTGTTAGATGAACTATCTAAAAGTTAAAAGATTTTTTTTTTTTAATAATATAACTTATAGTTAAATAAATATTTATGATATATTTCAAATTTTAAAAAGAAATCTTTTTAAAGAAAATTATGGTCATCCTCATCACACATTCCTTTGACATTTTCTAGGGAAATAACTGTCAATTTTTCAAATTTATTTTTTCGTTTTAATTTATTTATCTTACTTTTTTTTTAAATCGTTTCAAAAATCCCTTTTGTGAGACTTTTTAGTTCTAAATTTTATTTTCTTAAACTCCATTAAAATAAAAACAAACTAAATTGACGAAGTAATAGATCCTCTAAATTTAGTTCCAATAAATGGGGTCCCAAAAAGTCAACCTACAATTTGGACATTTAGAAAATGAACCAAGTCATCATCTTCCCCTTCCTTGCTTGGCAAGTACTATGGCGCATCATTTTTCTTGTTTCGGCGCAGTAAGGACTATATGTCTATACCACTGTATAGCTCATGAAAAACGGGTACAAATGAATTATCGAGTATTTGTTATCTCTCGTTATAACTAATTTCTCTGTAAATAATGAGTCGTGACTAAGTAGGAAATAAAAATGAATTGACATGAACTATATATTAACAACCCTATACCCATAGATTAGGTTATTACATGAACACCATAATATGAGCTGGAGTCTAGCGTCAAACATTATTGAGATGAGTCTAAGTCTGATATTATTATATGAAATAATATTGAACTTAATTAAACTTCAAAAATTAGTTTACGAAATGAGAAATGTTAAAAAATTATAAGAAGATAATTGTCCACCACCTATGTGCAGGGCCGTCTCGACCAGAAGGCCACTAAATCAATCACTTAGGCTCTCAATTTCTCCAAAAGATTTACATATATATACATATCGTTTATAGAAAAATCTCATGCGTCGATGAATTTGAAATGAATTTTTTGAAAAAAAATATTATAATCCTTACCTCATTTAATAAATTGTTGCCTCATATATATGACTATTATCATGAACCAACATTATTATTCTTATATTTACTTTTCTAGTTTTCTTAATATCCTTTCACTATTTTTATTCTCTCATAATTGAATTGTTGCCTCATATATATGACGATCATCATGAACCAACATTATTATTCTTATATTTACTTTTTTAATTTTCTTAATCTCCTTTCACTATTTTTATTCTCTCATAATTGAATATTTTAAAGTCTTTCAAACCATCAAACCTTCTACCTTATGCAAAATTTATGATTGTGTGTTCATAAAAAAATCAAATTTATTTTTTGGTGTCTTCTTCAAATTTCAAGCACTAAAACTAATCAACGCTATATTAATATTATTATATCAACCTATCAAATTCAGCGCAACACTAGTGCAATGTAATTAGGAAGAGAAAAGTAATCACAAATCGCTAAATTAAGTCCACGAGCTTAGCAAATCAAACCGTGGGCTTTGCGTGTATGGTAATCCACGCACCTCCTCTTCATCATATATATGTAGACGCTAAAGGTTTGTAATTTTTTTAAAATTTAGACACCTAAAATCAAATCGACGTCATATATATTGTTTTGTACATCAAATGAAAACACTCGACTTAAATATATAGAAAATATTGGTGTGTTGATGTGAATAAGTTTTTGCATTGATTTTTATAAAGAAATGAAACAACGTAACACATCATATGATGATGAGTTGAATTTTTAAGGGAAATTTCCTGCTCAACACATTTTTTTTTGGGATAAAACCTTCAAAAATATTACTATCACATTTAGTAATATCTAACTTGGTACTCTAGAAAATATTGGTATCTGAAATAAATTGACTTTAACTTATACAAAAATGTGTCAAAGATTTTTACACGACTAAACATCTTTTACACATGGCAAAGATAATCTGATAACTACCATTTGCTGCCCAATTTTTAAGAGAAAGTCAGTACAATCAAAATCCAAGACAGTATCACATGGGTATTACAAAGATAATTAAAAATAGTGACTGCTAAGGTATTAGAATGACAACAACAACCAAAAAAAAAAAAAAACGATAACGGTATAAGACACATATCTAAATTATTAGTTTTTCGTGAATTAGTATTATTTATGTGTTAAAGTATATCTGAACAATTAGTTGTTATATTTTCCTATTCTAACGCTGCAGTCATAATATTTCAGATAGAAAAAAATAATAATTGATAATTCAAATATATTTTAATATATAAATAATAATAGTTCAGGATTTCAGACAGAAAAATAAAATAATTGATACTTAAAATGTGAAATCGCAACAAAACCAATACTCCAGTGTAGATGTGCTTTAGGCTAGTAACATAAAAAAAGAACCAAGTCATCATCTTCCACTCTCTTGCTTGGCAAGTACTAAGGCGCATCAATTTTCTTGTTTCGGCGCAGTAAGGACTATACGTTTATACCATTGTATAGCTCATGAAAAACGGGTACAGAATTGTCGAATATCGGTTATCTCCTGTTATAATTAATTTCTTTATAAATAATGAGCCGTGACTAAGTAGGAAATAAAAATGAATCGTTATGAATTACATATTAACAACCCTATACTCATAGATTGGATTATCACGTGTACAAATATTATGAGCTGGGGGTCTAGTATCGAACAAAATTGAGATGAGTCTAACTCTAATATTGAACTTAATTAAACTTCAAAAATTAGTTTACGAATAAGAATTGTTAAAAATTATAAGAAGATAGTTGTCCACCACCTATGTGGATACTATTATTTGTGTTGACATATTGCTTTTTTTTGTGGTTAAATCCATATTGCTTTCATTTCTAAGATATATCAATGTTCTATCTAATTAAATAAGGATAGCAATCGTTTCATTCTATTTTTCATAGTTTCTTCTAATAATCATTTAAGTTTCTTGGACGTACATCTATAGATAGACTTTTTGCTACATTATTCTGCTAAGTATTGACAAAAATATCTTGTCACAATCGAGCTCTATTAATGATATTGGAAAGACAAAGGCACTAAGCAACAAGGGAGGCTACTCACTACTTTAAAAAAACACGAATTAGAGACGGTTAAATTTGATAGTTGAATAATAAAATTTACCGCTAATTTTATTTAGCAATAAATTAACAATATTTTATTAAAAAATATGTTATCTATGAACAATTTAACAATAAATAAGTGATAATGTCCGTGACTATTTTTTTTTTTAAAAAGTTCTATATCATAAAAGTGGGTTAATTTTTTTTTTTTTAAGTTCTATATCATAAAAAATAAGTTAATAACATAATAATGACCATTATAAGAAGGTTTTGGAGTGTATTACGAAACTTGTTATGTTAGTTAAGACACAACACTTCTAGTTCTGGGCCCCAACCAGCCTACCCTCTTTTGTTCAAAATCACACTTGTGAGTCTTTCTTTAGTTTTCTATTTGGTGTTTGATATTCTTATTGAAACTCTATTAAATCATAATTTGTACTGAAAAATCTCAAATTAGGAAATAAAACGTTCTCTATTAAAGACGACTTCATATCAGGTACATAATGCCATATCAAACTATAATTGTGTTAATTATGTTTCTACTTTATCAATTTTCTTTTGATAAAACTAGAGATTAGTTTTAAGAGCAAGAAATTCCACTTACATTAATTCTATGTTAATTTCGCTTGTGGATTATAAATAGTGTGCATATCATCTACCAATTTTGAAAGAGTTTTAACAACCATAATAACAAATTAAATTCTAGATTGTTTTCTCTAATTTCTAAATTTATAAACTACTAAACAATTAGGGAAATATATGAGCATAAACATATTACTCTATCTTTTTGTCTCCTATCCATTTGACATTAAGGAAAATATTTCCCAGTTAATTAATTTTTTTGTATACGTCACATAGTTAATCACTTGAATCATCCACTACAAAATTCAAATATTTTATTACTTGAAACAGATTTAGGAAAAAAAAAAAACTCTTCATCTACTAGATAGTCCATTAAGCTCTCTGAACGAGCAAAAAAAAACTTAAAATGATACTCTGTTTTGACCTTCCAGTATCATTTTTTTTGTCTCGTTCAGGTTCACATGAACCCAATAGCTTTTGCTCAAACTCGCTAATATCTATCAACATATTAATAAATATTTGACCGTAAATACATTTTTATTATATCTTGGATCCCTCTGTTTCACATAATGGAACAATTAGATTGACCATAAGAATCTGTAACATGGTAAACAGGGTACTGATAAGACGGATAGGCATAATAATACGAGCCGGGCTGCGACTGTACCACCGCAGCAGCAGCTGTAGCTGCAGCTGCAGCTGCGGGCTTTTTATCGCCACCAGCCGGGCCAACGCTCACCAAGTCCGCGTGACCCAAATTCTTCCTCAATAAGCTCGTTAGAGCCGCCGCGTCTACTTCTCCCACAACTTCTAGTTGATTCTTTCCGTCCCCTGTTATAGCTGCTGATTCCACACCTAAGTAAAAAAATAAAAATAAAATATGAGTCAAATTCGAATGATCTTTTTATTTATAATTATTATTAATATGAGACTTTATTCGACACGATTGATTGAAATTACCTGATTGAGAAACAGCAATCTTGAAGGCCTTGGTTCGACATTTCTGATCGTTTCCATTCAAAGATAGTCTAATAACAACCTTTTGCTGCACAAATTTAACGACAGACGTTAATAAAAGAGTTAAATTAAATACTAAAAAAATTAAAAATTATATTAAATTAATTTGCATACCTTCATTTTGTTTGTTTGATTGGGAATTTTTAAATTATAATTGAGTAGGCAGAGAGTGTGTGAAGAGAGGAATATTTAAAATGCTGAGAAATTGCAGTGAGAAAGACTTGTATATTCTTAGCTATTTATAGAGCTTATATTAAAGTAGTTGGATTAAAAGGTATACAAAAAAAGTTAGATTTTTATTAATGAAAAAATAACGCGTATTGAAGAAGAATGATTCAGTCATCCACGAAACTTCTATACGTCATGAACATGACTTAATTTTCATTCTATGGGACAAATATTTCCGTTCTTTTAATTTATTTGTCTTATTTTTTCTTTTGGTCGATTTGAAAATATATATTTCTAATAATTATTTTATTTTCCACGTACAAGCCTGTTGAAATTAATTTATTTTTAGATGTTTTTAAATTCAAATAGATTTAAAACACTTTTATAATTGTAGTGTTTGAGTAAGATCAACTCTTGTTTACAAGTTAAATAGTAACAAAATAAATAGTCATAAATTAGAAATTCTAAATCATAATAACTTTAAGATTATAAGTCACAGCTATAAACCTATCTTGCCTTGAATTTAAGACCATAACATTCAAAATATTTTTTACTTTCTTAACTTATATGACAAATTAAAATCATACAAACAAATTAAAACATTAATATATATTTTCTCCATTTCATTTTATGTGACACCGTTTGACTTGACACGATATTTAAGAAGAAAAGGAAGACTTTTGAAACTTGTGGTTTCAAACAAAGATATTTGTGTGATTGAAAATTATTTCATTCAGAGGTAAAAGGGTATTTTAAAGTTAAATTAGTAAAATGATATTTTTTTTGAAACAAACTAAAAAGACAAGATTGTCACATAAATTGAAACAGAAAAAATATTCCCTGTATTTTAAAAATCACTAAATTAAAACATTGTTTTGATATATTATGCATATCTAATGTAACATCCAAGGATGCAAAAGTTTCTTTTATTTTTTAAATTTTTTTATGGGTAATTAAATTAATATTAAAATACATAAATTAAAACAAAAAAAAGTACAAAATTCATATAAACTCACAATAGATCCTCTAGATTCTTCCTAATAAGTGGGGTCCCAAAAAAGTCAATAAGTCAACCTACAATTTGGACATAGAAAATTTAACAAGTCATGATACATCTTCCACGCAATCACCAGGAAATTGAAAGAGATTACGACGTGGAAAAGTAAGAGACGTAAAAACCATTTCCCCCTTTTCTTGCTTCGTACGCTCAGAAAAAATGGGTACGTTATCTAGAGAAGAACTCAAGATTTGAAGATTTCAGGGGCATAAATATTATCTTAGCTCAAATATGAGCTCATAATTTGAACAGTAAGCCGCACACCAATATTACCTTGAGCGTCGTAGCTAGATTTGAGCACAGGTCTCATGGGTGGTTCCTCTAATTTGTACCAGCAGCACAATGACAAGCCTATACTTTTTATGGGTGGACATTTAATTATATACTAATTTATGTCAATTTCTCAAGATAGATATACACATACACACATGATTTTTCCTAAAGTTAATCGGTGCACATGCACCCCACCCTATAGGGTGGGTCCGCCTCTTTCTCCCACTATAACTAATTCTTTTATATATCATGATTGAGTCTAACTCAAATATCATTATAAAAAATAATATTAAACCGAATTAAACTTCAAAACTATTTTATGAGTGAGAATTATGAGAAAAAAAATATATAAGAAGATAATTGTCACGTTCATAATTGACGTGGACGCTATTATTTGTGTTAGACATATTCCTTTTTTGTGGTTAAATCTATATTAGTTTCATTTTAAAAATAATCAATGTTTTATCTTAATAAATAGGGATAAGGGTCTGAAAAATACTTCAACTTTGGTCAGATTTGCTGTTGCGATACTAAACTTTCATGAAGACCTATTACCTCCCTAGACTATTTAATCTAAACATATATATTTGCCCACGTGGACATAAAAAAATAATGCAAAATTATAAATAGTAATGTGTCCATGTGGGCACATATATACCTTTAAAATACACTATTAAATAGTTCAGGGGGTAAAAACTACGTTATTAAATAGTCTAGGGAGGTAATAGGTCCTTATGAAAGTGTAGTATCGCAACAACAAATTCGACCAAAATTGAGATATTTTTCAGACTCTTATCCCTAATAAATAACGATGGCTATTGTTTATTCTATTTTTCATATTTTCTTCTAATAATCACATAAGTTTGTCGGACATACATCTATAGAAAGATGTTTTGCAACATTATTATGCTAAGTATTGACAACAATATTATGTCACGATCGAGCTATAATAATTAATAATATTGGAAATACAAAAGCACTAAGCAATAAGGGAGGCTAGGCACTACCAAAAATACATGAATTAGACATTGTCAAATTTGGTAACTAAACAATAAATTTTCTTCTTAATTCTATCTAGTAATGAATTAGCAGTAGATTATTAACAAATTATGTTATCTATTATATGAACAATTTATGAATAAATTAACCATGAAGATCGTATCTAATTTCAATTTTTGTTGTAAGTCCTATTTCATAAAAGTGCATCTCACTTTATGTTTTTATATTATATGAACTTTAATTTGAGTGGCTTTCCAAAAATTAAAGAGCTTGTGCTAATTTGCCAAAATGTGAAGAAAAGTAGAAGCGTAACTACTTTTTGTTTTTAAATAGAAAAATTCAGAAAAGACAATTAACTTTTTGGAATTATTTCAGAAAACCGTGTTTAGACGGTAAAATGTATTTCTTGATTAGTTGTTAACCAAACGAGTCAACCAGAAGACTAGAGTACTAATTAAGTTTAAATATAAAATATAAAATATAAAATATAAAATTATGTAGAATTCTAGAAAGGATGTTTAGCATATTCATAATGATCAAAGCAGGGTCAAAGGTTGATGTTGGAGGTGATATCATAAAGATTAATTAACAATGCAAGATTGGATCATTGAAAAATTTCATGTTAAAAAATGATGCAATCAACTATATATTAGAGGGTTAAATACTTCATTATTATAATAACTATAGAATAATTAAGGTAGTAGCCATTGGCAATAAGATTAGAGTAGGTTCCTTGTCATTATATAATGTTAATGTGTCTTCTAATATATCATTAATCTGCTAATTAACTATAGTAATTGATTAGTGGCCTCTCATGGTCTCATAAGTTATTATATTCTCGAGCAGACAAATCAAGATTATTATTATTAGATCAGTGAAAATTCTATGTCCAGACTTAAATATTTTCCGTCTAATATGCATATTAAAATAAAGTTACGAATTTTAAATATTCATTATTGAACAAGACAAATGTATAACATGAGCCTAGTCAAGTTTCAAGTCATACTTTAATATAGATTTAAATAAGCGAAAGAAATCATGATTAAGAGTAATTATTCCTTGAGGGTTGTTACAAATCATTTTACATATCTCGTGTTATATTATATTATGTTGAATTGTTTTAATAAAAATATTATTATGTTAAAAAATATTATATTATTTCCTGTCATTTTTGTAATGTCATGCACTAGAAAAATAAGTCTTCTAGCGGAATTAATGATATTACTTTAAAGTATCTCGAGAAAATTCATCAAGATTAATAGTAACTTAGTCATGATTTTCGAAAAGTACACAAGAAATTTTTCAAATTTTGCTTACTTTTCGAAACAACTAAACATTAAAAAATATTTTTCAAGAAAATAATAAATTAACTAGGATATGATAAATATAAAAAATCATTGTTGAGATGGCCGAGTTGGTCTAAGGCGCCAGATTAAGGTTCTGGTCCGAAAGGGCGTGGGTTCAAATCCCACTCTCAACATTATGATTTTTTAACAGTGTATAACATATATATATTTTTAATTATATTATACTAATAAATAAAGAACTAATATAAAGATTTGTTAAGAGGACGATTCAACTAGATGACTGGAGTACTGATTAAGTTAAAATATAAAATTTGAAATTATAAAGATTTGTTAAGAGGATGTTAGCATCATTAGTGATCAATGTTTAATTTAAATAATGGTAGAAGCAGAAAAGAGAGTTAATTCATTATTATAATTCAAAGTCATGTTATTCTTATAGACTATAGAATACTAGTATATAATTAATTTTCATATTGATAAAAAGTTTTAAAATTTGTAATACATAGTTATTTCTTTCTTTATCTATTTATTCAAGGATAAAGTATGATTTGAAGCTTGACTAGGCTCACATTATAGTTATGGCCCAAATACTGAATTTTAATTTGTACATTTCAAAACATTATTTTGTTAAATAATGAATATTCACTACAATAAAAATAACTTTTAGCGGTAATAAATAGACACATTAATAAAGAGTGCTAAAGTCTTTACCGGCATTAGTTAAGTGCCATTAGATTCAATGTCGCTAAAGCCTTTAGGGACATATACAAAGAGTCCTAATTGCCGCTAAAAATAAATATTTAGCGGCAATTGCTAATTAATTGCCGCTAAAGATCATTTTTAATGTAGTGATTTATATTTTCTTAACCAAATAATTACATGGTCATTTAACATCTCTCTCTATAGCTTGTTAAAAAAAATCTCTTTTCAATCATAGACAAATACACAGTGTATATAGATGGTATGCAAATGAAAGTCTCCGTTAGGGGTGTGTAAAATCGAACTGAAAATCGAATCAAATTGCAAATCGAGTCGAATTGAAAAAAAAACCCTGACTAGTGGTTTGGTTTGACTTGGTTTTTGTATTGAAAAAAAACCTAATTATATTTGGGTTGGTTTAGTTTTAACTAAAAAAATCAACCCGAGATCAAACCAACCCGACATTATATATATAATTTTAAAATTTTATTTTATGCATAAAAATATTTACTTTGATATAATTTTTAAATATTTCTTATATACTTTTTCATATCTTTTATCTTTTAATATATTATTTCAAGTTTGAAACTTAGAATTCTAAATAGTCCAACAAATATTATAGTCCACAGATGTTGATAATTATAATAAAACTTAAATCAAAATCAAATTAATACTAATGCTAAAAAAAAATCAATTCAACATTAAAAATGACAATAATATTGAATCTTTGTTCTTTAGTTTTACATTGGTTTAGACAATTAAAATAGATAATCTAATTTTGATTTCCTTTAATATTTAGTCATGTAACTAATACTTATTAAACTTATTTTAGCATGATTAAATACTTTTAAATTATGATCATTTCATTATGACTTGTTAATTTACAATATTTGTTTTACGCGATTTCATCATTATTTTTTTTGTTGGATATTTTAGTGTCATTAATCATATCATATTTTGTGTTATTTTCTTAAGAAACACCTTAGATAGTTGTATTTTGGTAGGACTAAAGAAATATTTGAAGTACAAGTAAATTATATGTTTGTATGAATACTTTACCGGAAAAATCCGAAAATCCCAAAAAAATCCGAGGTTGAAAAAACCGAGTTTTATTGGTTTATAAATTAAAAAATTCAACACAAATGGTTTGATTTGATATTTGAAAAAATCCGAATCAACCCGAGCACGTACACCCCTAATCTCCGTATATCATTTAAGGGTTTAAATTATAAATATTGACAGGTAACAACGCGAAGATTTTTTATTCTATGATTTATGACTAAGGTTGCGATAACTCTAAATATTACATACCTGGTGATGAGTGTCAATTTGATCTCTCTTTTTTGGACGCTTAAGTTCTTCTTCTTCCACAAATTTCTAAAATTGTCTAGACAAAATCACAAATTAGGTCGAATCAAGATTGTAAAACTACTTTCTCACATATATTAATTGCAAAGTCAAGTCAATAATTTCATGGTAATTTTACTGAAACATTGGATTATAAGTACTTGGAAATTTACCTGAAGATTAGTAGCCATGATTTTTTGAAAAGTAAACAAAAAAGGGAAATTTTCAAACACAAAATTTTACGTATTAATTAGGTTTTCTTCTTCTTTTCCTTATCAAATATTCCCTCCGTTCATGTTGTACGTCATTTAAATGTGAACGGATATACTTTTTTTCCCATTAAACTTTGTCTTCATTAATTATTGATGTGAAAAAAGTTACAATTCGACTTTGCCATATACCTAATAGGAGTACATAATAACAAAGATAAAATAAGTATAAAATAGTAAATTTCGTTTTGATTTTTTAAACTAAATAAGTAAAAATAAATATATATTTTTAATTAAAAATAAACGGAAAAAGTATATTATCTTTCTACTTATGAGACTTCCTAAATAAATATCTAATGGTCCTAAAATTAAGACCCCGTTTGAATAATTCAAAGATGACTCGTAGGCTAAATAATAATTATATAATTTGTCATATGCTAACACAAAATTGACATGACTCTCCTAGTGAAGACTAATACTTTTCTCATTTTCATTTTCATTTTCATTTTATATGTAACTATTATCTTTATTTTTAATTTTAAAAGAATAATATTAACAATTTTTAATTATTTGGGTTTTGGAAGTGCAACTCCCACACCATAAAATTGTCTAACAAAACAAAAATATCTATGTACTCTTATCCATCCACAGATTTTCTCAAGTCATCAAAATTATACATTTTTTTATGATCGTACAAAGCGTATACAAATTTATTAATGATAATATACTACTCCACCCATTCCACTTTAATATATTTATATGATGCAATTCAGAGCAATGAACAAATTTATTTTTGGTGTGAATTTAAACATCAAATCTTAAGATTATTTTAAAGTAAAATTTATGTATTTAGAAATTATATAAAAAGGTATATTTTTTTATCTTAATTATATGTCACACTTTCTTTTCAGTCCATTCTAGAAAGATGACACTTTTTCAAACATCAATGACTTATTTGAGACTATTTAAATTTCAAAAGTTTTTTTTTCTTTTTTTCTTAAAACTTTGTGTCAACTTAACTACATATAAATTGGGATGGAGGAAGTATAAGTTGTTATTTTCTTACCACTAATTAAACTACAACCTTTCCTTAATAATAAAAATACAAATCCTCAACAAGAATAAGTACAAACAAAAGAAACTAATACTTATCATATTAATTAACTCTAATGAGATAATGAAACACCATGAACAGAAAATGTGTTTAACTCTCCAAATAATAATATTGTATTACATGAAATGAAACAAAAAGAATACTATAATTCTTCTTATTTTTCCTCAAAGAAGTCTCATCATCAAAATGGAAAACATGAGTGGTTATTATAAGGAACTTCGTACATTTCAACCCAGCTTGGAATTACCCTATTATTATAATTACTATGACAATTACATGAATTAACCACTGGTGGATCAACTTTTATCTTTTCTTTTTCTTCTTTTTTCTCAACTGGCACTGGACCTTGGTTCACTATATTAGCAAATCCCACTTTTTTCCTAATTATATTAACCAGCTCCACTGCATCTATTCCCTCTCCAATCACTGTCAGTAATTTCTTTTCTTCATCTAAACTTACGTTCACCACTCCTGCAAACATGAATAAATCATGTCATGTCTAGTTAATTATATCTACCACACCATTTATTTCATCGTATCTTGTATGATCACTAAATTTTATCCTGTGATATAATAATAGTTCTTTGACTTTAAAAATAAAAAAGAGCTCTCTAATGTTAAGTGACACATGAAAAAAATATGTTCCAATATTTTTGGACTGTCTAGTTTACAAAACATGTATACAATGTTATAATAAATTATGTATACTTATTATACAATAATCTACGTATGTATAAAGGTTTTGATACTAGTAATATAGTATATAATATTGTTATACGTACCTGGTAAAGTTGCTGCTATCTTCATGATTTTATTTTTGCAAGAAGTTTGTTTAAATAAGCATGGTACCATTGGCTTCAACCATCCTAAAATACAATTCTTCAAAGTTGGTCGAGGTTGACATCCATTCACAGACACATCAACAACTACCTTTATCTGCATTTAATTATAAATTATCAATAATTATACTAATTAACATTGGTTGGTTTGGGTTAGCTGATTAAAAATAATGGATACACATAAAAACGTAGCACTGAAAAGCATTTTCAGGTGTTAGTAATCAATTTTATAAATAAATAGTTGCATGTTTAGAAAAAGGTGTAGAATAGTTGTAGATATAGTAATAAACTTGTTAGTGTGTTTTGTTAAAAGGTGTTGATAAACACTTAAATCTGTTAAGATGACTAAGATATCCTTAAAGCTATCAAAAATAATAATATAAATTTAAATATATTTTATGGACGAAACAAAATAGAGAGATAATTAGAAGAGTTGATATCAAATTAAAAGTGCTTGCAAGTTGTAAAATCATAAGTCAAAAGTAACAAAATTGTGATTTTTGATTGATTTTTACTAGTAAGCACATTTGATATACTTATAATCTTATAAAGAAAAGATAAATAAAAGTACAAATAGTACCGTCATTGTTTCTCTCTTTCTTAAAACTTTGTGACTTGTGAGGTTACAATTTTAATTGATTTGGTCATGTATTTATACTCAAATCAAGTGGAAAATCTTACATTATTTGTTTCCATGAAATAAAGGTTAATGAGTATATCACAATCAAAAGGACTTTGTCAATTAGTTGCATAACTAATGACAATTTGTCTCATTAATTAATTAGTACTTATTAGGACAAATTAATCGGTAGTTAAATGAGAAATTAATTAAAAGATGCAAAATATTTCTAACATGACACCTTCCTGGCTAGCGGTAAAGAGTCACCCATGCTGACTTCTCTTAAATTGTAGAAAAATAAGGAGTATAGGATCTTCTATCCTTAATCAGAGTTGTCGGGTTCAAGTTTTGAATAAGAAATTTCTTTTATTAGGGAGCGCTTCACCTTTAGATGAGCCTTATGCAATGTCGATTAACTTATCGAGTGAGAAACCAAAAAAGAAGTTAAAGAGTATATTTAATTTTTTATAACTCTTCTCTACTTTTTCTAAGTTTTCTCATGTCCACGACGACTTTTTGCTGTGGTGGCAGTTGTGAAGGAGATCATTTTCTCACCATTAATATTTAATAATATTGTGACTGGCCAACAAAAATTAAATGAAAAATTAATCATCCTTAATTAGCACAAATAAAGAGTCAAGCAAAGTCTTTCTTCCTATTTTTTTCATTGTTTTTGACTCTTATATTTCTTTTAAACTTGTTTGACACGGTGAAAATGCTTTCCACACATTTGTGGTGGGTTCGAACACCTTTCTCTTCTGTTCTAAAATTTATAACTCCAAACTCTTAATCCTGGCTCTGTCTCTGGGTAGAAGGTTAGTAGTATTGGAGTGTTGTTTTGTCGTGCGTAGGTTTAGGCTTGTTAATTAGCGCCGGCTGTAATACTAGCTAATTTTTGTCATATGTTGGTTATTGTTTTTTCGAGTATTGCACTATTTTGTTGTTATTATTTTTTTTTCTGGTAAACTTTGCAACGTTTTTCTTATTAACAACTATACTTTCTTCATTATTATTTTTCCTCTTTTGCTCGAATTTAATGCACTTGAGCCTAAAGTCTTTCGGAAACAACCTCTCTACCTACACAAGATGGTGATAAAATCTGCGTACACTCTACTCTTTCCAAATTCTATTTGGCGAGATTTCACTAAGTATTTTGTTGCTATTATATTTATAGAACTACACAGATACTCCCTCCGTCCACTATTGTTTGTCAGGTATACTAAAAATAGTTGTCCAAAATTAATTGTCAATTTAAACAATCAAGAAACAATTAGTCACTTTTTTCCAATTTTGCCCTTAATAATTACATAACTACTTATTTCAAAAAGTAGTCATTTAAAAGTTACAAGACTACTTTAATATGAAAAAAGTTGTTTTTACAATTTTCAAAAAGTACAAACCATTTTAATAATGATTGATAGTAGGGTTATATTAGTCAAATTGCACCTTATATTAAACTTTTCTTAAGAGTTGTGCATGATCTTATCATGACAAACAATAGTGAACGGAGGGAGTAGGTTATTATTGTAAAGAGCAAGCAAGTCAAACGTATAGAACTTTTGTTACTCCTATTAGTTAGAGCTGAACTTTCAATTAGGTTGACTTAAGGGCTAACCTTATTGGCTTTGAGTAGGTAAACGTTTTGTTTCTTTTCAAGTCCTTCACATGTAGTAATCCCACCATATCAATTTTTGCGGCCATGTTTAATTATGTGACGCTTTTCCTGGAAGGCGGGTTAATGAGGTCGAGACAAGCAGGACTAGCAAATTTCTAAATATGTGTAGAATATAGATGTTTTTTTAAAGCAAATCTCCAATTAGAATTTAGGAGGAAAGTAAAGAGTTTACAAATCATGACTTAAGTTTACATGATAAACATGTTTTTGAATCTGCTATGACATAGTTCAAAAGATAAATTTGTATGAACCTGGATTCAAAAAGGATAATACGTATCATAGACTTCAGTGATAAAATATTGGAAATGTCTTTTTTTTTAAAAATAAAATAAAATTATAACTTGTTATCTTAAACATAACATAAGAGCATAATACTAATTTTTTTAATTTTTTATATAGTATTATTTTTTTTAAAAAACAAACAAATAGGTATGGAGAAACGCAAAATATATATAGTATTATATTATCCAATTGTTGTCTTGAATTTAATATGTTTCTTCATTATCAATTTCTTTTTAAGTGGCGGTAAAACAACAAACTAGTCAACTGTTTTTTGTTAATCATGGGGACATATAGAGAATTGACAACCTCTGACTTCTTCCAAATATAAAACTTAATTAGTTAAAAAGGTTCGACTTTAATTAGTTGGTTGAATGGAGAAGAAATTATTAGTGGAATAGGGTACCTACGAATGTGGTACGCCCTCATTTTTAATGAATTCACATTTTCTAGTGTATTAGTTTGACGATATTTTTGGTAAATCCTCGATTCAAATTAACATTTTTAGATGAACGAAATAGGATATTAGTATATCTAATACATAATTTAAATGTGAAAAATTGTTCTCTAAGAAAAAATGTTGAATAAATTGATCGTAAATTATGAGATTTGAAAATCTTTTTAAATTCGAAAAGATATTAATCATAGAGAAAATAGAATTTCCACAATACATGCAAATCCCTCTGATATCATTTAAGAACAAACTCTTGTTTGCACCCCAAAAACAGATTTTTGTAGAATCATTAGTAGAAAGTAATCATATCAAGAATCAGGCATATAAAGCAAATATAGAATTCATACTAAAAACAACGGAGAATGAAATAGGGCATAATACGCATAATACATAAACATGACTTTTAACTTGACTTCAGTGGACAACTATGCCCTCCAACTTTGAGTATGCACAAGTAGACACTTAAACTTGTATAAAATTGAACAAGTAGACACACGTGTCCTACATGGCATAATACATGTAGGACGTAAAATTGCTAATGTAGTGTGCAATGTAGGACGAATGTGTCTATTTGTTCAATTTTATACAAGTTTGAGTGTCTACTTGTTCACATCCAAAGTTAAAGGTTATAGTTGTCAGCTAGCGCCAAATTAAGGGTCATGTTTATGTATTATGTCATACATAAATATGCCCTTTAACTTGGGCTTCATTTCATATTTGTGTCTAATAGTTTTGGGTGTGCACAAGTGAGAACTTTAACTTGTATAAAGTTAAATAAATAGACACTTTAATCCTACATGAAATAATACACACAGGACACCACGTAGGATTAAAATTGTCATGTGGTATGCCACACAAGATGTGTGTGTCTATTTATTTAATTTTATACAAGTTATAGTGCCTACTTATGCACACCAAAGTTGAAAGACATAAATGTGAATTAAGACCAATTTAGAGGACTTATTTATGTATTATGCTAATGAAATAGCACCGACAACAAATTATACCATGACAACAAAAGCCAGCGAGAGACAATAGAATCGAAAAATAAGATAATAGGAAAATTATAAAAACAATAATGATAAAAAAAAGAAGAAGGGAAAATTGTATATAATAGCAAACTATTAATTCAAATTAAATACTATAAACATAGTTTGATTTAATTGTACCCTATAACAAACTATTGCTATTTCTCCTCTCTCCTGGTGAATCTCACTCGCCACTCTCGTTCTCTCCCTCGCCTCTCTCACTTTTTATACAAACGCAAATATATAAAATGCGTTTGTATTTGTATAAAGCGAGAGAAAATTGTATATATACATATATTTTCGTTCCCCTTTCTCCCCTCTCCCAGATCTCGCTTATACAAACAGAAATGTATAAATTGCGTTTATATCTATATAAAGCGAGAGAAAATTGTATATACACATGCGAATACATATATCTTCGTCCTATACACTTATAATTATACAATACAAATATTCCCCTGCCCAATTCTATTTTGCCTTTCTCTCTTTCTTGCTTTATACAAACATAAATTATACAATTGATCTTTTGTATATGTATATACCGAAACAAAAACATATTATATACAACTGCTTTCTTTTGTATATGTATAGCAAAATATACATATTTATGTTTGCTATGGAGTGCAATTATGCAAACTATAGCTATAGCATACAAATATTATTTTTCTGTTTGCTATATATGAAAGTTGCTCAAAAAAAGACTAGATAAACCTACCTCTACTTCTCCTCGAACTCACTATAGCTAACCTCTTACACTTCCTCATACTCGGTATTCCAATTGCCCAAGATATTTCTGATATATTATAAAAGGATACTAGATAATTAATTAAGATAACCAGTTGTATAATCAGCATTGGTGTCTGATTCCTATGACACAACATTACTACTAACCATCAAATAGCACTTCCACCATACATATTTCAAACAGCTTCACATATGCAATCCAACCTAATATGCAAACTTGAAAAAGAACTCGTATTAAGCTGGGACTATGAACTATATTTACGTGAATTGAGGCGTCAAAAACACAAATTAAAACAAAGAAATTAGATACTCATCAAATCACTCAGTACAGATACACAAACACAATATGAATTGTCCACTCAGTATCAAACTATCAATCACTTGATACTAGCTTTAAATAGCAAGTTGTTATAAAGTCTCCCAAAATCTCTCAATTTACTAGTTCCTGAGTAATTATTCTCCAAACCAGCAAAGTATTCCGGAATGTACAGAGGATAAAAACAATCCAAATGCGCAATAATACCAGCAGGTAGAGTAGAGTTTATTTTGGAACAGTTGCCATGGATAATTCATCACTCAGTCGCATACAAATGGAAACTACAAACCATGGAAAAGTTAAGAGCTCAGATGAATTCTATTACCAATTCAGGGAGAAACATCAGCACATGCTTTCATATATCATTTCCAGCCAAGCTATTTACAGGGTGTAGAACAACACACAAGGAATCATTGCCGGATTCAAACATTTCCACAACCTCAAATGCCACGGATACATAGAAAAAACAGGTAAGGAGAGAGGATATGCAGCGGACGGGTTCCAAGGGCTTCTTTTATCGTGCTGTGGAACAGCATTACTCCAACGCTACCAATCCTCAATCATATTAATTTAGAAGATGCGTAACAACAAGAGGCTTCACACCAAAGGGAGGGGATCAAGGAGATGGCTGGCATCAAGAAACACTTGGGAAGGATAACCGATCTCGCAGTGTGTCAAATATTGATGAAGCGGCTGCATTTTGAGAAAAAGTCTGCTTCAACCTCCCAAGTAATTCATTATCTTTAGCCTGAGTAGCAGCATCAGCAGCCTCCTTGGCCATTCCGACTCGAGCATAAGCCTGTTAATGATTCATAGATCTCATAAGCATGACACCCATCACCTTAATTGATACAGCAATGCACCTTTACAGTTGACTATTTAATCCTACATCTATTGACACTTCAGAATCAGTTTACTCTTCCTCTCTTCCTTTTAGGGTGGAAAATGAAAGCACTTGTGATACTACAGGGATTAAAATCAATCAGACTGTGATCCGGAATATTACATTAAAAAGTGAATGCGGATATCTTAAGATATGCATCCTTCTGATATCCAGTCTATGCCGTACTTGCTTATTGAAATAAACAGACAAAAGTACCTTCTTTTTATCTTCAACCAGGAACTCTGTTGTTTCCAACTTTGAAACCAAGCCGATGTACAAAGATAAAAAAAACTAGGACGATAAAGGGTGAGTCCCTCTACTACTCTATGCTTAAATACCAAGCTTGGTTCACAAGCAGGATTTGAACAAGTCACTTAATACTGCCAGATGACTGTGAACCAACAAAGGTACAATATAGATTTGTATGTCTTTCTGGGTTTCTGTACAAAACAATAAAGGTATTCTTTCATTTAAGCACATTGCTACAAAACGGAAATGCAATCATTTTGGACTAATGCAAAGCATTTTAGAGGCAAAAGGCCAAAACAGAAAGGCACAATCATTTTGGACTAATGCAAAGCATTTTAGAGGTATAAGGCTAAATGTTTTTTTCTAGCCAGTAAAGATATAAGTACCCAAGCTTTTCACAAGCATAGGTGAAAAGAAAAGGGAGTAACTACTTTTTCTATAGTAAATTCATTTGTTAGCAAAATCATCTCAGCAGGGATAGTGACCACATGTGGGTAAAGTTCAAAACTCAAACTTAAAACTATGCGGGACTACATGCCATGTCAAACATGTCTGTAGACCAAATGTGGAAATATCATAACATATACAACACTAACCTCTGCTCTTTCACGAGGATCAGTCAGCTTTGGTATGTACTTTAGTGCTTCGCCTTTCTCATCTGCATCAACACATGCTTCGACAAATGGGCGGTAACCTAGAAGAGAAAAAACAGGAGAAAAACGGATGACTATAAGATATCCATTAGCCTTCGTTAGCATATAGTATATGGTCAAAAAAGGACTTGCTTGGAATGTCTATGAACAAGTCCAAGGTGCTTCTTTCAGTGGCAGTCACAAGAAGCAGAAATACATTTCACATTGTACTTGTTGACAAAAAAAAGAAGAAAGCGAGATCACCATGGCTACAACAAAATCTAGTTTGACCAAAAAACATAATAAAGCATATCAAGCCATTAAAGAGGAAGTGTAGCTCAAACTAACTAAAATGCCACTCTAAGTGAAGGCTACTTCAGAAATTAATTAACTTTTTCAACTTCAAGAACTGATCAAATTAAGTAGGGGTTAAAAGCAGCAAAGAATTTTCAGATATCCAAAGGGGCAGCATTACATATAGCAGTTGTGCAGGGAAAGCCACTTTTGTAGACGCCTTACGGTTTATAGTAAACCTCTATTAATATGGGAGACACACTTGCAGAAACCCTATATCAGGTGTCATACCCCTAATATGTATCGCATACAACATTTTCTAATTCAAGTTCTAACTGTTCAATCTAATATCCTGCTCCTTGGAATGCAAAACCAAAGTAAACCTACTTGAATTAAACTTAACATTCATATCCTAAAAACAATCCATCATATCAATCAAGAGAAAATTAATAAATATCCAGATCATATTACAAATATCACAGGGGGAAATGCATTTACAGATATTCTGTTGAAATATTAGGGAAAGTCAGTGATTTCCTCCCGTTAAGCTACTAAGGGGACTTACCAATTGGTGGCCTTTTTTCCTTTGAAAACTTTTCCAAGGCATCCCAATCCCTAATTGTTGCCAGAGCAAAAACTTTAAGCCAATACCATCTCTTTTCAGATACCTGAATCATCCAAGAAAATTAAAATTAAGGGCACTTTAAATTGGATAAATCCAGAAGTTGAACCCACATGTACCTAAAAGAGGATGCAGAAATCACTAATAAGACAGATAAATAGAAGTACATCATCACTGTGAGCCAAAAGAGATGGTACAGACCTTAAATTCTGTTTTGACTTTCATGGCAGCACGATGGTTACCCAGCACAATGCATGTACGAATTGTATCGCTTATACTTGAATCCACAAAGATGGCCTGTTTTGTAGTCACCTCAAACTCATGTTGCATCCTATATCAATATATGAATGATACGACATTTAAATAGAAGTTAAGCAGAAAAGAATGGAAACTAAAAAAGTAGAAAGGTTGCAGAAGGACGAGACTATTCTGGAAGTTTGTCACTCTAATTGTCAAAGAACATTGTTGCAACAATAAAATTGTCATGGCACATAAATAATCATCTGTTTCTTGCTGAGCAGTACTTGATGAAATTCAGAACTTATTGACATGGTTATCCTATAACAGCTGGGGTACTATCCTTGGCAGCTAAAACTTGGGAAGAAAATGAAAGGCTTTACTGGGGACTCTCCCTTAGTGAGACTTTGGAGATTTAAATCATCTCCTGATCCATTGCGAAGTCTCCTCTAAACTCTAAAGTCTAAACTCTGGTATTTATGTAGAATTCCAGAAAAACCATTCTAGCTACCTTGACATAAAATAGACTTAAGTTCTATAAATATATGCAGAAAAACTTATCCCTCAAAAAGAAATTATGGGAAGTCCAAATAAAAATTGGGAAGACATAATACACCTCATATGATCTAAGAAAAGTAGGGATCAATTGAACCACAGAGATGAGATACACATATAGTGGATAATATTACAGTTGAGATTATTTTCCGACTTGTAGCAGCAACTATTCTGAAACTCTCATCTAATTTAGCTTTGCATTTTTTTACTGCAGCTAGCGCACTAGACTAATATGATAGAAAGGCTTCTCTCGCTGGTTGGAAATGTTATCAGATGCCTAAATATAAGCCTAATGCACACTCAGCATCACTCAGAAGAAGCGATTGATTGGACCATCAACTCAAGACAACAAGCAGGAAGAAAAATGAGAAGTAAGAGCAAGCAAAAGAAATAGTGAAAGAGCTCCACTGAATCATCAACACAATGACTCGATAACTAATACCGAAGGAAATGTCACCTTAACAATTTTGCATGCTCCTCAGCAGCTTTTGATTCAAAAACATATTCCTTTGTTTCTACAAATAGATGCTGGGCCTTCTCAATGAGTTTTATTCTTGGACCATGAAGTGGAGATCCTTTGCTAGCCATGGGATTCTTAGACAATTCCCATGACTCTTTCCATAACAGAAAAGCTACATCCTACAAGATTGAAATCTTTGTCAGATAGAGAAAGTTGAATAGAGAGAAGAGTAGAGAGAATCATCATGAACTGTACAATACTAGCCTTTAGCAGCAACTTTTACATGTCTTGACAATTTAAGCTAAAAACAAGATACAACAGACAGGATTACAGAGCAATTACAACGGGATTCCAGAAGTAGGCAAATTGAAAAATTGTTAGAAGAGTTCCTACAAAAAAAAATTTATTGGTAAATAGCTCCTATAATATTCTTTTACCAAATTCCATCTACTAAGAAATATAAACGGAAGGATATGAGCAACAATATGCAAATTAAAATTGATAAATAGCTCCTAGAACATAGTATTTTTGATATGTAGAGTTCCTAGAATGTTATATTACCAAATTCCATCTACTAAGATATATCAATGGAGGGGTAAGAGAAACAATGTGAACCAAAAAACATAAATATGATAAACATGTTACACATCGAAATCATTCCCTTCTGTTTGTTTCCAGAGAATAATGAGTGACATGTTACCCGAAAAATAGTAATAAGGAGAACCTGGAAAAAGATCAACAGATAAAAGAAACTAATTCCTTCATATACAAAGAACCTCCACTAGAACAACAAAACGGTCACAGAAACAGATATTCAATATCACTAGGATGAGATTCAATATGGCATAAACAGTTCTAAATTTCTAAAAATCAGGAACAAGATAGTCAGAAGAAAGGTGGAAAAATAAGTTGTAGTTCCACACAAACCAACCTGAAGTTGCCCCGTAGATAGGAAAAAGTCCTTCAAAAATTCATGCTTGTAATGCCTTGAGGTTGGGAAGAAGGAAAAGTGTTCAGAAGGTTAAACAAACTGCTCTTGAAGTGATGAACAATTTAAAAGTTCTCATACCGTGCATAATTAACAAACAAATCACGAGCTAGAGGTCTGGCCTGTATTGTCCCAAAGAACTCCAAAGCTGGTCTCTGGGGGAAAAAACATGTGGTTATTAATAACAACTGAACTAACTAGTCGTTTAGAAAGGAAAAAAAAAGGACTTAGGATATATATTTAACAAGAAAATCTACTCCAGACCAGTGTTTATATGTACCTTCTGCCAGATATGGAAGAGGACAAGGTAAACCAAATCAGTATCACCACTTTCAGTTGACTTCATTAGAGCAGTATCCTCTTCTCCAATGCTTAGCAAGAGAGGAACCTAAAAGAATAACATAGTTAGTACACCACAAGCTAATAAAAGCTAACCATGTCGTACATTTTGGTCACAGAAATCCAATCAACAGATTAAAGCCAGCCAAGAACAAAGAAGTTCCCTTAGATGACAACATCTATCATTGAGAGATAAGAAGTTCTAGGCTCCATTAGAAAACATGAAAGAGAGTTCCAAAAAAAGGATATTAATAGAAAGACAAAATGCACTTAAAAGAATTAACAAACCTGCTTAGATGAACGTGGCTCATGTTCAACAAGCATGGCAGCTAACTTCCGACGGCCATTCTTATCCGCATGAGCAGCAACTGCAGCATAAGATATTCCCTTGCATATCTTCAGCTGACATACCAAAAATTTACATGAGACTTTGCACTACAATAATTGATGTTGGACAGCTTATTCCAAACACAAACCTTATCAAGTAACATCTCTAGAAGAGTGGCATCAGGGATTGCCACCGATGCTGTTATCTTTGTAGATGCCCAGTGCATGACTACAACCTCCTATACACATAGTGCAAAAACAACATTATAAGCTACCATTTTGACAAGGTAAACAATATAAGCTAACATGTAAGAATTTCAGAATCCATCTGGATACATCATTTCTTTCCCTTCGACTTTTGGAAGTTCACTTTGAGTCAGTTTTAATTGATGCAAAAATACAAGTTCAGGGAAATGCCTCATAAAATCCAATATATTTGAGAGAAGACAGTAGATTACACACATAAGAAACAATGTTGTTGAGAATATCATTCACTAATAAAAAGTGTGCTCTCTCTAATAGCTTAAGCTTTTAGATGAGATGGTCACAAACTTCAACATGGTATCAGAGCATGCAGACGATACTCACTGTCACCCAAATTAAAAAGAATTTCCACGTGCTTGACCATGAAAAAGAATCAGTCCCGCACGTGAAGAGGCGTGTTGAGAATATCATTAACTAGTAAAAAGTGTGCTCTCTCTAATAGCTTAAGCTTTTAGATGAGAGCACAGTTTTTATTAGTTAATGATATTCTCAACAAATGTAATAACAGACGTCAATCTTATATGATCTCCAAAAAACAGCCAACATATCATATAAACTGACATGTTATGAACATGAGCAACTAGGGTCTAAACTCCATTACAGATTATAAAAGTAGTAATAAGGTAAGGACATATCTTCTTAATTGGACCACATCTAAAAGAAAGAAGCTTGATAGAGATATGAAGTTCTGCAAAAAAGCATACCTGATTCATACTAAGATATTCTGATATTTGTAGTGCAAGAAGGTGGCGATGAGCATTAATAAGACGAGCAATCAGAACAGTAGGTGTAAGCAACTGCCAGGAGAAAATGTCAGGAAAAGATCCATACAGAGAGTTCAGAGAATTTAGTGCACAACTCCACTTAAAACAAGGAAGTATACAGTACCTTATACTGTTGAATACTGAGCGGAATGCCAATATCTGGGTGACGTACAGCATTTAGTACTCGTAAAGTTTTACTCATCTCTTGAATGCGGTCCCGTTGAAAATGGCTGCCAAAGCCAACTGGATATCATTAACAAGAGAAGAAATCAGAATAGAATGATCTCTAGATAAGATCAACTTTCCAACAGCTTCATAAGTTAGGAGAAGGTCTATAGAAAAACAAATAAAAGGCCCATTGTTCCATTATTTTCATCCATTTTAACATACTGCATATTCAGCATTCAAGTTGCAAACAAAGTAAAGTTCTGGCCACTTCCTCATGATAACAAATCCCATGAGAACTGACCATTGGTTTAGTGATTGGTCCTAAAGTACGCAAGCACATAATTGACACTCCAAAACTAATCTCCACTTCCCCTCTGATCCTTGAGGCCTTGACCCTTCATCTCTTGTACTCGAAGGAAGAAAAAGATGGAAATCCCAAAAAACAAAAAAAAAAACAAAGAACAAACAAACAAATCCCTTTTCTTAGTTGTGTCCTCCCCACTTTGGATCACATTTTAGTCCTTAAGCTTCATTGAGGACTTTGGACTGACTGCATCAAACACAGACCTTATGATGGCATCATTGTTCTGGCATGTACCCAAATGAGAAACATGTTGATTTTTCAACAATCCCACACCTCACATATGGAACACAATCCCCTCACTGCCATCACATTCCCTGCTCCAGAATATAGATTACTGGTATTTGTTGTTCCCCCTTATCTAGAACGGTAGAACTAGTGTTGTGAAAGGCGATCGCCTCGTCGCCAATGGCGAGAGGCGAGGCGACCCTTCATCACCTTTTAGCTTTGTGGCGAGGCGATCTTCAAAAGGCAATGCCATGGCAACAATGGTGACAAAAGCGGGAAAGGCATGGCCTTTTGTATTTTCCTTTAAAGAAGACAACCAATTTAGGATTTTAAAGTTCAAAGGTAATTTTAAGTTTGTCTTTCCAAATTTGCACAGTTGCACTCTTAGACTGGGACTGCGACTCCAACCAGTCGACTAGACTAAACTTCTCTGATGACCAACCAGACTTATCCGGCGACTCCAAAGTCTAACCAATATGTATTTCTTCTTTTCTTCTGCATATTTCTTCTTCCTCTGTTTATTTTTCCTTCTTCTTCTTCAGAGTTACTTCTACCTCTATTTTTTTTCTCACTGTTTTGACTTTTGTTCTATTTTTTTCTCATTCAAGTTCTGGACTTTTAGTATGTACTATCTATTTTCAGTTTTTGAATTGAAATATTTACTAAAATGTTATTGCTATTGAGATTTTGATTATTTATACGTGCAACTAAATATTTTAATTTTTTAATATTAATTGGCACCGCACTTCAAAAATGTGAGTGCCTCGCCTCTCGGTGAGGCAGACCCTTGTCGCCTTTCACCGTCCAAAACACTGTCTAGAACTAGCACTAATAAGGAAATGGTCCTAGATTGTACTTCTCTCCGAATTCGTTGAATTGTCTTGTGTTACCAAAAGAAGGTTGAGCAACATATATTCATGATATAACAAACGCCCAGTTCACATAGTTCTGCTATCCGGTGAACAAAGTGGTTCCAATGAACCGACCGGGAGAGAGAATTATTTTTTCAAGGCTGCCAGCGGGCTGGACCCAAGCTCAGTTTGAGGAAGCCTCTTTTTAACTGCCAAATATTCATTAATCTTCAAGAGACACCATCAACCTATAGCCCAGATGCATATTTTTTTTAAGGAACGGTCAGTAAATAAATACAAAGTAGTTTATGTAGACACTTTTCATTTACTAGTATCTCTCTGGTGTAGCTTACAGGAAAAGCAACATTACCAGGTTAATACAATTTGAGAAGTTCCCATCATCGCTTGTTTATAAAAACTACTCCATCACCAATTAGCTTGTTTTATGACCAGAAAGAAAGTAGATCGCCATAGCAAGAAATGCCTTATCCTTTGATGCCTCTTATAAGCGAGGAATTATGAGTGCAGTGATATTAACCGAATGATGCAGGCACAGAAAGCACTGCCTCCTCAAAAGGAATTTTTTTTTTTTTTTGAAAATGGCAACTCTCCTCAAAAGGAATTTAGACAAGAAAAGAACCTAAATATCTACATAAGCCAGGAGACAGATCTTTTTTCCCTCCTCTGCTCATATGAAACTAGCATTAGATAGCTATTGTCAACATATACAGCATCAGAGTTTGAATATGTACCAACACCAGAGGCAAAAAGTAAAATGGAATTTCTCTTTTTCTTAGGAAGCAGTAAAATAGAAATTTTTAGAATATCATCTCTACAATTAAGCCAATAGACCTACCTGCAAAAGGCTTGGCCGTAGCTTGCTGCTCTTAAAAGCGTCCGTTGCTGTGAGACATCAAATTCATGACCTGCTGCATCAATACATGCCTCAACCGCCTCGGGCAGCGAAGACCGTATCAGTCTCAGATTCTCATCAGCCTGATAAGTGATTAATAGATCAGAATTCACCCAAAAGTGAACTTCAAACAGTTTTTCTCTGCTATGTATACTCAAACATGAACATCTGACAGATGAAGTTGAAACAATGGTGTTCCTAGAAGAAAAGACTAAAAGGAAGAACCTTAGGAGCTGATTCAAAAGAAAAGAGGACATACCAAAGGTATTTACCAATCCTTTCAAGTTTAAATTTCTGTCTCTCACCTTCGAAATACAAATTCCAAAATAAAAAGTACTTCACTAGCTAAAGCATTCTAGAACAGACAAAAAACGTTCTGATGATCAGAAACTCGACGATTGAATTCAAATCCAGTAGGTTATATAGATGCATCTCTAAATAAAAGATAAAGAACAGAACACCATCACTTACACACTGTATCCGTTTTTTCAGGAAAAAAGGCCGAGGGAGAAAATTTAAGTTTTCCTAAACATTAACGACACAAAAAGTGTGTGCCCAAGTTCACAACTGTTTATAGATGAGTAGATATATCTTCATCCAGCATTAGATGAATGATTTCCCAATTCAGAATACCAAAGATGACCCCATGAAAAGGTAGATACCCTTATTACATCGTCCTAGTCAGACCTCTTTCTTTCTACTATTTTTTTTTTTGATGACAAGGGAAACCCGCAGCCGCTACCCTTTGGGTGCGCACAGGGTAAAACCCCCGCTCCTATGCAATAGCTCGCAAACTACATAGGAGAGGTAAACCGCACTAGGCAAGCCTGGTGCGACGAGCTCGACCCAGAAGGCAAATCCCTTGCTTTCGCTGGCAAGGGGTTTCGAACTTGAGACCTCCAACATGGAAGTCCAAGCTCAAACCTCTTTCTTTCTACTATACTAAAAGGAAAGTAAGAAAAATGTAATGACGATCAGAGGACTTGAGTAATTTGACATTTAGTCATATCTTGTCTTCAATAATTTATATATCTGAATGCCTGTTACAAACCGGAGTTCATTATCATACTCCTGCCTTTAGATGGCTACAAACAGTCAAACATTGCTGGTTGAAATTACCAAGCATTAGCCCAGAGCGAAGCAATAAAATTTGATTAGTTAATAGAAAAAAAAGCATTCATGCAACATCCCCACACTGTAAGAAAGAGCAGAGAAGGAAAAGCAGAACCTGTCAATACAAGGTATAAGAACAAACGACAGCACTTTATTATTTGATTTCAGCAAAGATAAAGAATTCATCATCGTCACAATTGTTGCAACTACAAGAAATCTAAATGTCAACTTATTTAAACGCCACACTTTATTTTATGTCATGTACAACATTGGGCTAGGCATGAAGATGGAGGTAATGGCAGTAGAGAACGTGGGAAATGATGTATCATGGTAGTGTACTTATAGTAGGAATTGATATACTTGTGGAGAAAATTGACTTCATGCAAAAGACAATAGCTAAGTATTTTTCATTTTTTATGCTACCCTATGTCAAATGGGATTGTCAATTATATATATTTTTTTAAATTAGTAATTTTGATGGGATTGTCAATCATATTACGCATCCCAGGGTAGGTATGCAGGTATGGAAACAAGCTTGGATGCAGAAGTAGATATAGATTTGTTAGAAGATATAAATATATGCACATATGAACAAAGTCTAACTATGTTCATTCAATTGTAATATTTGGAGATCGAAATAGGCAAGTTGGTTCTTTGTCACTTCATAGAGTAAATACCAAAAGATATAGCCTACCTTGGCACTCCGCCTGTCAAAATGATCTAAGGCATCATAAAGCAAAGCTGCAGGTAGTGTGCTGCCAATCTGAAATATGGAGACAGTTGAATCTGGAACTCGATGAAGAAATTCCATACTCATATTGGAGAGTATTCTAACGCCATCGCATTCAGGGATAAGGAGAACTGGTTCATCATAAAAGTAGCGTACAGGGTCTCCATAAGGACCCACCATTAGAAGCATATCATCCCAGTAGAGTAGTACACTGTCCATTCCACACCAAGCTAGCTGCTCAGGGGGTAGGGCTGACTAGAAACACAAAAGCAATAACATGGTAAGGAAAGATTCACCGTCTTATAGAAAGATACCGAATGATGAAACTAAAAAAGGTGGTGTACATATGTGATATTAATCGAGCTAAAAAGCCAGAAAGCATTTGTTACATTAACAAGAAACAAAAATGCAACTGCAGCATATTATCTGAAAAAAATGTATAAGCAACAATATGGTAGGACTTCGTAAAAATCACTCCAGTTAGCACTTACAGAATAAAGAGCAAGAAGAATTTACTTAGAATAATGTAGAAACAGTAAGTTAGAGTATTGGAATGACAAAACCACCTCACAAGGATACTCGAAAATGACACTGGAGAAGTCCGTGGACATAACAAGAAGCCTTCCATCATGTGTAAAAGATGCCAAGAGCTTCCCATTCTGGGAAACCACCATTTTCTGTAGAGGCCCAATTCCAAGTCCAACCTCCTGAACGCCATCCTCTTCCACCAACAGCACATGATCAGCAACACCCATCAGTACCTCCACATTGCCAGACATAGTATACTGTGGTTCAATCACAGCCATACATAAAGGAAAATCCTCCAAGTCAGTATCCGCCAATTTGACAGGTTTTGGATTATTAAAATCAGGTATACAATAAACCTGAAACGCCTCATTGATACAAACAACACCATTTCCCCAGAAAACACACTCAACTACACTGTGAGTAAAACAATCTGCGCCTAACGTAAGCTGAGAATTCGGTTCAATAGGCTCGGCATGGATGTTATAACGATAAACAGTACCATCCTGAGTGATACAAACTAGAATTTGATCGTCAGTCCATGACATACCGATAAGTCGACCCCCGGGATTCTTCCAGACTGTTTCGGAGATCTGAACACCAGCGGAATTGAAAATTCTGAGCTTACGAAGGGCAGATTCGGCGTAGAGCTGGACGATCTTAGCATCGTCACGGATGACGGCGATTGGACCACCGAAAGGAGCGCAGGCGACTTTGTTGCGCGTGAGGTCGACGTGCTTCCATTGCATCTGGTAAATTTCAGGTTTCCGGTAGTAGCGATTGTAGAGGAGCTGCCATTCTGCGGCCACAGTGACTGCCGCCATGGGAGGAATTGGTGGTTGAGTTTAATTTCCGATCAAAGAGATCAATGGATCCGAAATTGAAAAAATGGAGTAAAGTACCATCACGGAAAGCCGGGAAATTGGATCGCTGCGATTTATGTCGGGTCGGGTCAGGGGAGCTCCGTTTTATGGCCTTTTTTTTTATTTGGGTCAACTGCCCCAATGTATTCTTCCGTTTTGTCGTTTTTTGGATTTCTTATTGTTCCTTTATGTATTTTAAATTCTTTTGGGTGGAAGTGTCAATGAATAGTTGAAGATAGAAAATGGAAGAGTTTTATCGGGACGTGGTGGAATGATTGATATTCCTTGTTTTTTAACTAGAGGTGAGTGTCGCTCACAAAAATGGATCTTACGTACACGAATTCAGATTTTGATTGAGCATGTGAGTTTTGTTAGTATATATGGGTTGTGATAGATGGTTAGGAATTTGAGATCCTTCCATCCTTAATCAGAAGTGAGTGACCCTCACATAAATGAGTTCTGCATTGTCTAATACAAATTTAATGAGACTTCCATTCATTATTGGAAGAGTTTTAGGGGGATTAAGTAAGGTGTTAGAACATGAATTTTGTGCTACTTTGAGAATATATATATATATATATATGAAGTCAAGTTGAAAAAAATTATAGAAAACTTAAAATTATATTTGGACATATAGTTTACATTAAAAATTGTTTACTTTTTAAAGTGGCTAAAATTCAAACTTGAAAAACTCAACTTCAAGTCGGTGAAGAAGAGCAAAAAAATGGTAAGTTCAAAGTGCCCCCTAAGGTTCGTTTGGATAAAGAAACTTTCCTTTAAAAAAATTGTTTGATTATACATTTGGATCGACTTCTTCATTTGAAACATTTTCTTCATTTACAGAATTTCAACCTGTTTTCAAGTAAAATATATGTTCAAACACAATTTTAATTTTCAATTTCAAAAACTAGTTTTGCCAAATTTAACCAAATCTATATCTAAACGCTTACTAAACCTATGCACATATTGATGCTCAAATCTCAATCCTTCATATCTTGTTGTTTTAAAAAATAAAATAGGTGAACCAAGAATTTTTCTCTAAAAATAAACATAACAAATTTCACTCTAGAACTAAGAATATTATAAGTCTTAACAAAGCCTAATGGTGGATGTATCCTAAATTTTTGGAAGGCCAAACATTATGAAATTAGTTAACCATTAAAATACAGTCACAAATTTAACCTAAAACTCAGCAAGAGACTAACTATAATCTCTTACTACTATAAAAGGCATTAATTGTATGAGAAATTGCCTTTTCCAGCATAAAACTCAAGTTTCAGTGTTTTGAACATCTACACGAGTCAATTTATTCTGACATTTTTTTGAGGGGTTGTTTTGGGTCGCGCCCAAATCAACCCACCAATAAATACATATTGCTTAACTCGTGTAAGTTTGAATAAATCGGATGTGTTACATGTTTTTGCATCAATTTTGTCGTCATGTCATTGTGTCATTCAAGGTAATTCACTTTTTGGCCATTTGATATTGAAAATCGTTATTTCAACCTTATTTTTTTAGCGTTAAATTAATTGCATAACAAAAATAAAAATGATATGAAAATTTAAGTCCAAATATATGGAACTAGGTACCACATGCATTTTCACTGTTTTTTTAATCTGAATTTTCATTGATAAAAACATAAAATTTGTTTCTTTTTATTCAGTTTCCTTTGTATTATTAAGCAATCTTTAATCCTCCTTACGTATTTAAAGATGATTGATATAATACAAAAATGATAGCTTTAGCAAAATCCTTCAACATCTTTAAAAGTAAATGTTATTTTAACCTATGGTACTTTATCAAAGAGACTTATTTTTTTCTCCATTATGTACTTAATTATTGTTCATAATCAAATGCGCTATCAACTTTTGGAATCACTTTTTCCCATTGGCCTAAGGTTATCTTGTTCATTTCAATCAGAGTTGCTTTCTTCCTTCCCAAGGTTTGCTTTACCTAATTGTTAATTCAACACATCTAAAGTTCACTTTGGTCTCTTATTTACATTCATTTTTCATTTTCACACCGCTCGATCAAATCTAATGTGAATACTATGTGGACCAAAACATCTTTTGTCATGGTTCACTTTTAACTTCATTGACTACTGGATCACACCTTTTAATACTTCTTAATTAATGAATTTTGTTTTAGTTTAATAACTACTACCTAAGCTTTTGATTGCAATTTATTTTTGAAGTCATCATCATATCATATATACTAAGGTGGACTTTTGTGCTTGGATTACATGTGACATATTAACAACTTTGGGTGAATTAGCATCATTGGCTCCCATGTGCCAATTCCTTCTCTATAGGGACCTCCTAGTGATCACTTCATATTTTATCATTGTTGACACTTTACTATAAACTACCTTGTTAGTTACAAGGACTCTTTAACTAATTCAACATACATGCATGGTAAATAATTTCAATCTTACGGTATAATTTTCTGACAAAGGGGAGTCGGATGAATCCCGTTGCGCCCTTGCTATAGACTAGCTAGTTCCACAAAAAGATTTAGCAAATACAGAATTATTGTCTGTGGTCCAAGGTTTATAATACATACAAGTGAAATGAAGCACGTAAGTAGGCCAAAATATGTCATGATGAGATACAGAAATTGATTGCAAGTATATGATAATGGAGGGTCCATTAAAGATTAAAAGCTATTTAGCAATCACATTTGCAAAATCTACTGCATAAAGTTGCATGTCATGGTCCACATGTCTTCTACTGTTATTTTTTTAAATTATCACACGATGTGTAATTGTCTTTTTCAATCAAAAAAGTGTCTACTAATTACCTGATAAATAACATTACGTATAATTCTAATGCATTGTTGAATTAGCAAGTTCATATATCGGCGAACATGACCTTAGATAGGAGGTCATAGAGAATACAATAGAGGGGTTGAGGGTTCTCACTTATCCTTCCATACTAGTAGTCATAATATTACTCAGAGTTTCTTGTAATTCCATTTCTGTTATTATTTAATGAATCTTGCACTTTAATTATCATATTATTTTATTGTAGCGACTGCTTCTTTTTTAGTATGCTTTGTCATGCGTTTTTTAAACAGTTTGTCTTGGCTTCTTCACTAGCGTTATTTTCATTTTTCAAACTGCTTTGTAAAGTTTTTACTTGAGCCGAGGGTCTATAGATATAAGCCTCTCTACACATGCACTAATCTCTTCATACCCCACTTGTGAAATTACACTGCTTTATCTTATTGTTGTGTTTGTCAAGTTAACATAATTTATGTTAACTGGCTGATAGTTTAATGAGTTGATATTCTGTTCATTTGAAAAAGCAAACCACCCACAGCATAGACAAGAAATACTTATCAATACTAGTGACCATGCTTCTTCTCAGTAGTGGGTAAGTAAAGACTAAAATTATACACATATATTGTCAAATATACTTGATATTTTTTTGAAAAAAATTTCCCACTCTGACTTTGTTGTGCTCTGTCATACCACATTCTCTCCATTAAAAAAAAAAAAAGCCTGTTATAAGGTCCCTACCAGGTTGAAATCACAGCTTATTTCCCACTATAAAAATATGCACTATAGTCTATATATGCCAAACATTGTTAATTTGTTTAAAGTTAGCATTTCACTTTGGCTTCTTTGCAGAATTGATGATGATTAAGGCTTCCTAGAAAGGAAATATTTGTTTTTCAACGACGTCTTTAGATAAATCGTTGTTCAATTGGTCATTGCAGTGGAATAGAAGAAAACAATGTACCTGAAGAGCTTAACAAGTTAAGTTCAAGAAGTTTTGCTGGTGCTGTCTCTCTTTTCAGCTCAGTTCCTTCAAGACAGAGTTTTGTAGCATTAGCAATATAGGAGTAGTAGCAACATGATACGAATTACCACGCAGAAGGTGATTCTTCATGTGGCGATTTTCATCATCGTTGCTCTTCTGCCATTAGTTACAGCAACTCAGAAGCATGCGAAAAAGATTATTCACGAATGCAGTGACCATAAAGTCCTTGAGGTTATTCACATTTGTATCTCATACTCTGCTTCAATTTTCCTTTGAAAAAGTATAACGTAAACGAATACTTGTGATTTAGTCATATATGTTTAAGGCAGCAACTGATTTTTTCTATATCAAATTTCAGCCAAGTCCAAAGTTGTCATTTCAAATTATTCTACATGGAATTCTCCTCTGGGCTTCCATGGGGTTCTTGATGCCTATCGCGATTCTTGTAATAAGAATGTCGAATAAAGAGCAAAATGGAAGAAGGCTAAAGATGATTGTGTATACTCATGCTTCTTTACAGGTAAATAAAATCACTTTTCATTGATTCATTGTGAATGTGGGAGGGAAAAAGCTAACGCGTACTCAGTGTTTGCACCAAACCAATGAATAAAGACATGTATTTTTCATATCTTAAAAGTTAAATTGTTTGGTTTGGTGCAAACACTGAATACGAGTAATTGTTTCGTCAACGAATGGTATACTTCAAATCATTGACATGAAAATCAGTATCTCAACAGTTACTAAACTTTTATTATTACAGATTTGAACTTTGTTTATGAGATAGAAGTACCCCACATTTCACCTCTAATGATATTGAAAGAGAGTAAGAGTTATGATTACACATTTGCTAATAATTAAACTAGCTAGCCCACAATTTATTATTAGGTAATTTTAAGTTAAAAGTTCATTTATCCCTCAGTGATGAATGCTTAGTGATAAAGGAAATAGAGGAGTTGTAAAGTCTCTTATTTGAGTACTACAACTAACTCTATCTTTATTAAGAAATGAGATCAATTAAAGTTAAATATGAATGTTAGGTATAACCGTTTAATTTTATCATGGCATACTTTTGGTACATTGCATGTACATCATTATGTAGTGCATAACACGACAATAATACCATAACAGATATACTTACTGACAAGAGAGAGCGAGACTGAAATTTTATATTCAATATTTACTTATGTTTTGGTTATTTTTCAGATACTATCTGTTCTCCTTGTAGCAGTAGCAACAATCATGTCAGTAATAAACTTTGAGAACTTTTTCGACAATACTCACCAGAGACTTGGCTTAGCTCTATATGTTGCCATATGGCTGCCATTCATCGCTGGAATTTTTCGACCTGACAGGTAAAAGATACATAAATTTCACAATGGAAGAAGTTAATGTTGTTCACTCAGTTGAATAGAAGTTTTTGTTCTTCGTATATATACAGGGGAAGCAAAAATAGGGGTGTATGGTATGCATTTCACTGGCTTATTGGAGTCACAGTTACTTTACTGGGAATCGTCAACGTATATATAGGTTTACAGGCATATAACACAAAAACAATGAAGAGCACAAGTGTTTGGAACTGGCTTTTCAGTATTGAGGTTGGTGTTATCGCGTTCATCTATCTGTTCCAAGAAAAATGGCAGTATATAAAGCAATCAGGAGGGATTTTAGGCAATGAATCAGTACGACCAACGGATCAAGAAGCATCTCCAACTCAGAAAAAGGAAATTTCACCCATGGCATAATCAGAGCCATGTTAAGACTTCAGATAAACAAATAATTTTGCCTTTACCTAACACAAATTTTCTTGTTTTTTACAGCTAACATTAGATTCTCTTCAATTTTGTTACAATTTCACAAAACAGATATTTAAGAGTTTTGTGTAGTACTATCAATGTAGAGCATCATACACAGTCTATAAAATGAAAGATATTGTGTCCACCTCTCCTCATTCACAATCGCGACAGGTTCAATCAATGAGTTAAGCATATCCAACACCATCGCGACAGATGCAGTTTGTCATTCTAAGAAACGTGATCTCATCTCAGTGGATCACGTTTTTCCTAAGAACACCAGTTAATCTAGAACTCCAAATGATCATTGATCTCGATCGATAGATACAAGGACTTTTGACAAACTTATAAAGGTTCACTATATTAGTAATAGAAACAGTGAATCTTTATACAAAGTATTTATACAAGTCATGGAAATAACTGCACATAACCTGTCGCTATTGCAATTCCTAAAATGACTAGGGGTGGAAGGATGACAAATGCTCCAATTGTAGCAAAGAAAGTTGAGTCATTCCTCTGAGATACTTCATTCAGGTAGGCTTGTCTTTTGATATTTCTCTTCTGTGAAGTAGTTAAGAACTTGGCACTAAACTTCTTCAGATTCTTACCCAAAGGAATGCTGAAGTCATCATCTCGACTTCCAACCAAGTTAGCGAGCTGATCACGAATTGTAGGTTTACCAGAGCTACTATCACTTTCATAACCTGGCCAATGATCAAGTGAATGAAGCAAATACGTCAAGTTTACTTGAAAACTTGCTATAAATTTGGGGCAGTTAGGAAGGAAAGGAACTGCAGATGCTTCGGAGATCATAGCCTAGATGTTTTGGATCAAAAGCTAGATGTATACAAATGTTAAAATTCAGTATAAGTTGACTTTCATAGATGATGAAAACTCTTTTGTGGACTTCATAGATTCCCTATAATGCTAGGAAGGAACTCAAAGTCCTTGGATATTTATACACTTTCTTAGAGCAGTTTAATGATAGTCTCGTATTACTTATCAGGAAAAAAGAAAAGAACATATACCATTTACTGCTGAGCTGCTGGAAGTGAGCTGTTCCAAGAGATCTAGCTGCGTTTGAGCAGAAGATAATGACCCTAAATCAAAATTAAAAAAACTTCAATAATCAAGCAAAACAATGTAGCCCATATCATCATACATCAAACGGGACTAAGATATGGACACCATTCGATTAGCTTATCAATTCATATTATATCAGGCAGAGGTACAGTGTACTGTGTTCATTCCACCATGATAACAATCAGAGAGGCTAACTCATACACCCATCCATCTTCTAAATATTGACACAACTTACTAAATTTTACTCTCCTATCCCAAAATAAGTGTCGTTTTTACCCATTCGAGAGTCTGTTTTGTCTAATTTTCAAAGCTAAATTGGAGTAGATCACCTCAAGATATATAATTTAAACATTCAAAAACAGTGAAAACAAACTTTGCAAGATCATATTTTCCCCCAAGTAAAGTAGATGAAGAAAGATCCACACTTTTGTTAGGAACTGACATAATCACGTGTCAGAAGCTAGCAAAACAAACCTGACGATAAACGACGATAAATATCCTCACAAACACTATAATCTCATAAATTAAAATGATGAACATAAAGTTAAAAGCATACCAGAATAAGTGGGAAGGTCTTCCTCCTTAGTGACTCTTCCATCCCCTTGTTCAGAAAGAGCAGCTCTTCTTATGGAAGAATAATAAAGTTTGTGTGTACAAGGAATGACATGTTTTGGTTGCACAAAAACAGAGCTCAAATTCAAAGCCATGTGTAGTGTAAGTCCATTAGGTATGTATGAGGCTACAAATTATGCAACTTCTATGGAGTACCTCAATTTAAACAGGTGGCTGAAAATTCCTCCACCACAAAATTTAATTTCCTTATATGTCCCTGTCCTACTAATATAATTTTTAGATTTATTTCCTTTTAATTCCCATCGTCTCATATTTTAAAAAAGAGATACTAGTGATTGTTAACGAGTGAAGCTTGCTTTAGTGATTGAACAATTTTATTATCAACTAATAAATTGAGCGTTTGAGTTATGCTAGAATGTAAGTCAAAACAGTATTGAACCTTTTTATCGAATGGGGTGGGGAAAAAATAATATTTTGATGCCCTCCTTTGTTGCTTTCTAGATGCCCTTAATTTCTTTTATTTTTATCTAAAACATCTGTATTAAAGAAAGAATTAAAAGAGTATTCCCTCTTCCTTTTTTCCCTAAGCTCTAAATATTTATTGGTTTAAGATTAAAATGATAAATTGAGGTAAGAAGCATAATTCAACATGCTTAATAAGATAAAATAAATGTAAAAGATACCTAAAATACACTTATAGATTTAGTGTACACTCTAGTCAATTTGGGGATAAGTAACATCAAGTGATTATAATTATAAATGGGACGAGATATACTTAAATTACAAATATGAAAATTGTCTCAAGAAAACTTGTCACACTAATTATTTGGGAATTGAATTCAACCTTAACTAAGAATAGAATACATAAACAAATGAGTCATATAATGATCATACAAATTAGTTGGAATTAAGATTTTGTTGTTCACATTAAATTTAGGTAACGTTTTAGTGTTTGACCATGAGTTTTTCATATTAGAAACTTGTGTTAGTTACAACACATTTTACGATATTTCACTAGTCAAGAATAAATGGTTGTATGTATATATAAAGCCAAGGTATGCTGAATATTATACTTAATTCAGAATTCAGTATTTTCAACGCGAAATATAGATTTATGTATAATAATTTTGTAAAAATAATGTTTTGGGCATGTCTCATAGTCCAAAAGCTACCTTGAAGGGACGAGAATTGTTCAAATCATCTCATTAACATCATCATTACCCAAGAACACTCATCTTATTAACCATTGATGTGGAGAATTTTTTTTCATTCTTCAACATCCCACTTCACTCCCAAAATACGGACGTCTAGTGTTTAGACAAATTTAATTTAGGGTACAATATTTGGCAAGATGAATTTTACTTTGAAACCATGTAAAAATAAATTTTTGACTTGACTTGCACCTCAAAAGCTAGCTCGAATCTATCATCACCTAGCTGTCGATGAAAAACCCAAAATGTCCAAAATAACCTCCATAACAAGTAAAGTTTTGTTGCGTGCATCTGCATAAAGTTAAAGGGCTTTCATGCCATTTTACTCAGTTACGCGTTGTTGAGAAAGGTAAGGAAATCCAGAGAGGAAAAAATATGACCGTTAGAAACAGCATTTTCAAAAAGTTAACATTTATTCCTACATTATTATTTTTATTATAAATCTAACAACTTGATTTCACCATTAATTTCTTCGAATCCGATACTCAAAAAAAGGCAAAAGCACTCACCACCCCACTCCTATCTCCATCTTTTTCCTCTGCTGGATCGCACAGATTAGATGTTCAGGTGATAATTTTTCGAAGACATATATAGCGAAGTTAAGTTTTCATCAAATGGACAACAAAATTAGTGCAGAAGAGATGAAAAATGAAGGAGAAACAACAGTGAAGGAAAGTGGCATTGAGTCTCATCCTTATGCATTTCATGTTTCTGGACCTCGAAATGTTCCTTCCCCAAATTGGAAAGATCTTATTAATTCCAGTTGGTTAGTGTTTTCTACTCATAATCTTATATTTTTCGCCTTTTCACAAAGTAGGGGTAAACTCTGCGTACAAATTAAGTTGCCTATTCTAGAATCCTGAACATATAAATTCAAAATTCTGGATCAGCCTTGCAATTTAAGACTCCCAGAGTGTTTGATTCTGTGATTTATTAATTCGATCGAACTGTGGAAAGCTTTGTTTGATTTATTGTTTTGTTTTCTAGCTTTGAGTGGTTTATATATGAAGCTGAATTGTTAATTCGAAGAGATTTTGTCTTGAATATGAACTAATTTCCATGTGTTATTAGATTTTCTTATCTAGCTAGATCCCTTTTCTGTGGAAATACTAGATGATTGCTCAATATCAAGCTAGATCGTTAATTATGAAATAATACTAGATGATTTGCTACTGACATCAATCAGTAATTCATTTGGACAGGAGGAAGGATGCTAACTATAAAAGAACAGTAATGGCCTGTTTTATCCAAGCTGTTTACCTTCTTGAGCTTGATAGACAAGAAAATAGGACAGAACAAAATGCACTTGCTCCGAAATGGTGGATACCTTTTAGGTACAAGTTGGTCGAGACTCTAAAAGATGAACGAGATGGATCCATATTTGGTGCAATATTGGAGTGGGATCGATCTGCAGCTTTGGCTGATTTTGTACTGATCAGACCGAGTGGTGCACCTAGAGCTGTTTTGGCCTTAAGGGGAACAATTCTGAAAAGCCAGACAATGAGAAGGGATATTGAGGACGATCTCCGCTTCCTAGCTTGGGAAAGTTTGAAAGGATCTGTGAGATTTAGTGGAGTTTTAAAGGCACTAAAAGCAATCGCCGACAAGTATGGGAGTAATAATGTTTGTATTGCTGGTCATTCCCTTGGAGCTGGCTTTGCTCTTCAAGTTGGGAAAGCGTTAGCCAAAGAAGGGATATACGTAGAGGCACATTTGTTCAATCCACCCTCTGTTTCACTTGCTATGAGTTTCAGAAATATCGGAGAAAAAGCTGGCTTTGCCTGGAAAAGAATCAAAGCAATGCTTCCTTCAAAATCTGATTCTCAAATCAGCTGTGAGGAACGCGGTGCAACATCTTTTCCAGTAGGCCTAAAGCAATGGGTACCTCACTTGTATATTAACAACAGTGATTACATATGCTGCTCTTATACTTATGCAGACGGAGCACAAAACGACCAAGCTGCAGCTAACAAGGAGAATGCAAAACCAACAAACTGCAGCCAAGCTGCAGCAAAACTTTTCTTGTCATCGAAGGGCAATCAGAAGTTTCTTGAGGCGCATGGATTGGAACAATGGTGGTCCGATAACTTGGAACTACAAATGGCTATTAGTAACAGCAAGCTCATTAGCCAGCAGTTGAAATCCTTGTACACTATGCCAGCTGCTCAACTAACACCAGTCAAGCGATAACAGATAAAAAAAAGTGGCTTTCGCAGCCCCTTTGCTGATATAATAACTCATTTTAAATGCAAATAGTTGTTCCTATGTCACCATTTTTGGTGTGCATTCTTACAATTTTCCTTCCCCTATCGTATTGAACAATGTGTAGCTATGAGGATGCTCTCAAGGTGGAGCCAAATAATCTCAAATGTGAAACCCATATTTTCTTCATTTGTATATTTGTATTGATGAATTACCAAACAAAACATACCATACTCTATACCCTCATCTTTTATGTGAGATTATTGAAATGGAAAAGTGCTATAAGGGTGTATGTTGTGTGATAGAAAAATGCATATTAGAGTAAAACAATAAGTTCTAAAACCTGTGATGTTATATGACAGTGAATCTTGGGCTGTTAAAGTTCAGCATATCCATAAGATGAGTGTTACAGAGATGAGGATGCTAAGATGGATGTGCGGTACACACTGAAAATAAACCAACCAATCTTTGCAGACCCTAAACATGGAAAGAAGTTGTCTCGAAAGTGTTACAATTTATTAAAATCAATACTTTAACTAAAGATTAGAACAAAATGGAAGAAAAAAAACCATACAGGTGATAGTAGATTTATATGCCTTCAGAACCAAAAAAAAAAAGATACGACTCTGCTGGGGATCGAACCCAGAATCTCTGGTTTCGTAGACCAGCGCCTTATCCATTGGGCCACAAAGTCTTTGATGTCAACGAACTAGCAATAATTGACTCAGTTAAAGACGTCTGAGGCTTAAGTGTTTTTTTTTTATGAAAAGGCTCAGCAACTATTAGTTGAAACATAGAAATGTATGTTACATTATTCATAGTATGCTGAAGTATAGATATAATCTCATAGAGTTATTCGATCTTAATACTACATAAAAATTGTAACACAAGCCAGATGACGGAATAGGAACATCTAAAATGTGTAGAAGATTATTGCATAAGCAATATATTGCTTTTTTATCCAACAATACCCTCAATTCGCTAGCATCGCCCTTTGTAATGGTCAAAACGAGTAAGTTCATCGGTCAGCAAACCAACTGATCGACACAGTTCAATGACATCAACGGCTTTGTGGCCCAATGGATAAGGCGCTGGTCTATGAAACCAGAGATTTTGGGCTCGATCCCCAGGAGAGTTGTATTTCTTTTTGGACAACAAGATCATAATATAGCATACAATTTAAAAATGATTGCCATATACTCTCTGCATGATCGAGATATATTAACATAAACAACGTAACATTATACACAACCATTTACAATATTTCCATAGCTAGATATTAACAATAATCTAGATCAGTGACGGAGCTAAGTATTCAAAATATTAAAAGAGGTACATACAAAAAAAAAAACTCAAAGAAATTCAACATGTATTGTATATACTATATACATATACATACCAGAGATTATTAATATTAACATTGGATATAACGTACCCTTAGCTCCGCCAATGTTCTAGATGATCATGCACACAAGACTTATTAGCTAAGTCTCAAAAAGAGTTGATAAATCATAACCATAATCATCAATAGAAACTTGTTCATACTGATCATGATCATAATTATTAGTAGTACTATATGAATCCATCTCCAATAACCATGACTCAATATTCCTATAATAATATTCTTCAGAAATATTATCATCCATTAATATTTCTTGGCTTCCCATCGAATAATTATTATTACTACTATTATCCAACAAACTGAAACATGGTTCGTGTAACGTCGTACTATTAATATTAATAGACGATGGTATACTTCCTTCTGATGAATCTTCTTGGCTATATTCTTGAACGATTTTCAATCGTTGATCATCATCAGGTGGTGGTGGTGGTGATGATGATGATGACGATGATCCAATATTATTATTGCCAGTAAGTTGTTGAACAAGATTCTTGAAATTTGAAGAAGGTGTAATATAAACTTTAGGCTTCAACAATTTAATCAAGTCGTTGAATTGTTTCTTCTGTGATTTTGAGGCTTTTTTTCCCATATTTTTTTTTTCTTGCTTAGAACTACAAGAAAGTTTTTAGGATTCAACGTAATTTTTTTCTTAGCTCCTATCGATGGGATAATCCTAACGAGAGCTAGCTGGAGCTATATATATATATATATATATATATTAATATATGTGAAGGATTTGAGGTGCTTAAAGTCTAGACTTCCATGTATTTACACACAAGATGCTTGGAAGAAATTACAAAAGATGCTGAGAATGATGTTTTTTTTTATGCACTAAGGTGTGAAAATTGTAGTCCAATATTACTCTATCCTTTTGTGCATTTTTATAATTTTATTATTGTCCAGTACCTCTGTCATCAACTGATAGATTGAGGGTTCGAATTATGTTAGTAGAGAAATTACTAAAAAAATCATGCTTATCACTACCAGGTATTTTTATCAATATCGATTTTTTTCTTCACGTTGTTGGATTATGTAATTGAGCTTATATATATAAATAAGATATAATGATGAGTGAGAATTCATATCGTAGATTTCAATTGTTTGAAATTGAGACATTGTTATTTTTGTTGTAATTTGTATCTAATTTTTATAATTCACTTATTTCATTAATTCTTATTTCACTCTCTTGGTACTATCTCTCCTAATATATATAGGTGGAACTATAACCAATAAAGAATAATTAGTTGAATATTATTCACTCAAAAATTATATTTTTGTTAAAGTTTATGTGATGTATTTTCTTTGTTAATATGTATTAAAAAAAGATTTCTTTTCTATATTTAAAATTAATTTATCATTAAATTTGCTTCTTATATAAAACAGATCTATAACTTATTTTAAATCATGCGATTAAAAAATATCCTCCTTTCCATAAACTCTACCTTAATTATATATCAAAGTGCATCATAGAAATTTCTGATCTCTATCCATGTGTCACCTCAACAGGCTGTAGACTCATATTATTATTTTATTATATAATAACAATATGCCAAGAATTGTAATTACATGGATTGGTATTTTTGTGTATTATTAGGCAGTTAATTAATTAAATGTAAACGTTAGTCAATTTCTATAGGATTGATACAGGAAATACTATTTGGCAAAATAGATGAATACAATAAAATAAAATGTATGTGTCACCCAGAAGAACAGTAAAGGCACGCAACAAACTACTATTCAGCTACTCTGTCTTATTATGTTTTGTCCTTTTTGAATTCTCACCGGTGGTTAATATCAGCATTATATTAAAGTTCGATTAAATTCAGATTTATGTTGGAAAGTCTCACATTGGGATAGAGGGAACAAAGGCGACTTCATATTTAGTAGAGTATAAATAAATAATTAAATAGTATAATATTTAATTATTTATTTGATCCAAGTCCCCTCGATCTTACTTGACTTCACTCCTAATCTGAACCTGAAACCTTTGATTAAAAATGAAAGAGTATTTTCGTCTCCTTCACAATCCTTATTGGATACAAACAAAGTCAATCTTGTTTCTCATATATGAAATGCATTTTTTCACCTACAAAGCTCAAACTTATATCTTTTTATTGATGTAGTAAATTTCAACTTTCTTTTCTTTTCTATTTTTCACTCAAGCTGTTATTTTATCATTAGAGAAACTTCTTTCAAATTATGTATGATACATATTTTGCAAGTGTAAAATTACTTGCACAATAATTAGAGGGCTTAATATAATTATAATGCTCCTTGAGAAATATCAATTAGATATGTACAAGTTAGATAAAGAACTAATTAATGCTATTATGTCAACAGATGGAGTAATTATTTGCAAGTTTTTCTCCTCTAATTGGGACATATATGTATATAATAATTTAGGATGAAAAGGGACATTAGCATGAAATTATAAAAATTCATATAATTGCTTGAAGTGACTTCATATTATTAAAATCACATCAGAATCTTGAATTTTGGCTGGTGGCTGTCTTTCATAAATGATTGTGATGCCAGAAAGTAGACATACAAAAGAAAAATTAAAAAGAGAGGAAGCCAAAAAAATCAATAAAAATTAAGGATCAATATAAATCATTGTAATTAATATCTATCCCACTAGTGTTTACGGGGTAAACTCTGCTCTAGTGTAATAGCTAACCATTCATTTCACGAAAATAAAATACAAAAACCTAATAAGTTTCAAGAACCACGAGTATTAATGAATTAAATATTAATCATCTGAATGAAGTACGTAGCCGTATTTTCTACACAAGTATGTAATAAATCTAAAACTTGCTACAAAATGTTTTTACACCCTATGATTTTGAACTCTATTCAATAAGAAGATTTCTTTGTGCATTCATCAGTAGTAATGCCTAGTTTTAAAAAGAATACTGTTAACTTGCTTAACAATAGCAACAAAAACTTCAAGAGTGTGATGATTTGTCTTTCTTCCCAGCAAGAATCATTGAAATCTGGAGACCTCTACTGAACGCCTGGTTGAAGAGCAACCGCGTCTGGAACTCTGATACGAATGGGAACCAAGACAAGACCACAACTGGCGCGAATATGAACAGTCCCATGATGCATTCGTATGCCCGTGCCAACTCCATCACTGAATCCCAAATTCCAAGTCCCTTAAAACAGGGCCTGCATGCTTGACCAATCTATGAAAATAAAGGAAGAAATTAGTCACAAAGGTATAATCATGGTCACATGCTATCACAAAAGAAAATATTGATCAGATGAAGCTATATTTTAAAAATGTTGTAAAACATGCAAGTACATTAGCTGTATGACTTAACAATGGGAACGTTTTCATTTCATTCTAGTAGCTTAGTGGAAAAAGAGCAGCAGAAGTTGCTATGGCAATATTACCAAGAATAAGATCAACAACATTTCTAGTGTAATCCCAGAAGTGTGGGGTCTTGGGAGGATAGAGTCTACGTAGGCATAAACCCTACCTCCAAGGTAGGGAGGTTGTTTCCGATAGAACCTTGGATCAAGGTAAAGCATTTCAAAGCAGTTCGGAAAAAGAAATAGGAAGGAAAGAAGCCATGACAAGAAAATAAAGACATCATGGCAAAGTATGCTGAAAAGAAATGGAATAGTAACTACAACAAAATATTAAGGTAATCGAAGTACGAAAAAA